AAGCCACCGACTGAGAGAAGACATTTGTAATGCATAAAGTAAAAAAGGATTAGTATCCAGAGTACATAAAGAACTTCTTCACATTAATAAAGAAAATGAACTCAGTAGAAAAGTAGAAAATTATTTATTTATTTATTTATTTTTAAAGATTTTATTTATTTATTTGAGAGAGAGAGAAAGCATGAGGTGGGGAGGGTCAGAGGGAGAAGCAGACTCCTCGCTGAGCAAGGAGCCCGATGCGGGACTCGATCCAGGGACTCCAGGATCATGACCTGAGCCGAAGGCAGTTGCTTAACCAACTGAGCCACCCAGGCGCCCAGAAAAGTAGAAAATTATTAAAAATGACCAGCAGGCTGTTAAATTAATTAAACATAGAGGCTATTTGAGTGTGGTGGCTTAGTGCCCTAACAGCCTACATAAGCAAACCCAAAGCTAAGCCTGTAAATGTCTCAAGGTTAAGAAATTCAAACCTTAGGACAACCTGTCACAAAGAGCCAACCAGGCTCTCTCACATAAGGCAATCACTTAAGGTACAGCCAATCAAGTGATTTCCTTACTTTGTTTCCTGGTCTTCTCTGGAAGTCTTGCTCTTAGCTCCTGCTGGTACTCCTAACCACTTCTGGTTTGGCACTACTTTAAATGGATTTGTGCTCAAGGAAATTCCTAAAATTTTAATATGCCTCAGTTTATCTTTTAACAAGGGCATTTCTTTTCTTTTCTTTTTTTTTTTAAAGATTTTATTTTATTTTTGACAGAGAGAGAGTGTACAAGCAGGGGAAGCAACAGGCAGAGGGAGAGGGAGAAGCAGGCTTCCCGCCGAGCAGGGAGCCCGATGCGGGGCTCGATCCCACGACCCTGGGATCATGACCTGAGCCGAAGGCAGATGCCCAACGACTGAGCCACCCAGGCGCCCCAAGGGCATTTCTGAAGAGAAAACCCAGTTGTCTAATAGACATGTGAAGAGATAGGTGATCTTACTAGTGATCAGGTAAATGACTACAGTGGGGAGGCTCCATTAGGGTGGGCAGAGAAGGCCACTCTAAAAGGTATCATTTGATCTGAAACCTCAATGAAAAGTTGGGAAAAAACAGCCATCCATTCATAATTCTGGAAGAAGGGCATTCCAGGCACAGGGATCAGCCACTGCAAATGTCCTGGGGTGGGAATAGGTTTGGCCATGTCTTAGCTTGGGCTGTCATAACAAAATACCATAAACTGGGTGGCTTAAACAACAGACATTTATTTTCTCACAGTTCTGGATGTCTGAGATCAGGGTACCAGTGTGGTTGGGTTCTTCCGAGGCCTCTCTGGCTTGCCTATGACCTCATCCATAATCCCCATCTTTATGACCTCATTTAACTTTAATTATCTCCTAAAAGCCCTGTCTCCAATTACAGTCACATTGGGGATTAGGGCTTCAACATATGAATTTTGAGGGATATCAACATTCAGGTCATAACACCTTGGTGAGGAGATTGTTTTAAAAAAGTGGATTTGAGGAGGCCAGGATTTCGGGACTAAAATGGAAGTGAGATCCTAGAGAGCACCTGAAACCAGGTAAAATAGAATGAATCCTCCCATAATCTATTGTTTGGAAATATAAAGAATTGTACCTTTTTCATGCCAAGGGGAATTGGGGGGGCAGGGAGAAATGATATGGGCTTAAAAAAAATTCCTTGCCAAAGGCACAAAATCTTTGTCCCTACCACAGGGGGTTTCTCTCCTCTGAGTTTGACAACAGAGTGGAATGCAATTCCTAAATTCTTTCTTTGCTACCCTCCATGATAACATGGGGCTCTAAGGTAATGGGTTTTACTAATTACTGGGGAACAACAAAAGTAAAACAACAATGTCAAAAGTTACATGACTCATTCAAACAGAGGATAAACACAAGTGAAAAATTTATTCCACTCATTAAAGAGGAAACAGCTGGGTCAGAGACATTTTGAGAAGTAGAAAACTTAAATACAAAATGAATTAATCTCCACAGGGTAATAAAAACTATATTTTTCAGGGTTCTGTGTGTTTGTGTGTGTGTGTGTGTGCTGGATAGAAATGATCTGAAACTCACCCAGACAAAAAAACCCGAGATTTTTTTTTAAATTTTTTATTCTTATGTTAATCCCCATACATTACATCATTAGTTTTAGATGAAGTGTTCCATGATTCATTGTTTGTGCATAACGCCCAGTGCTCCATGCAGAATGTGCCCTCCTCAATACCCACAACCAGGCTAACCCATCCTCCCACCCCCCTCCCCTCTAGAACCCTCAGTTTGTTTTTCAGAGTCCATCGTCTCTCATGGTTCATCTACCCCTCCGATTTCCCCCGCTTCATTCTTCCCCTCCCGCTACCTTCTTCTTCTTCTTTTTTTTTTTTCTTAACATATATTGCATTATTTGTTTCAGAGGTACAGATCTGAGATTCAACAGTCTTGCACAATTCACAGTGCTCACCAGAGCACATACCCTCCCCAGTGTCTATCACCCAGTCACCCCATCCCTCCCACCCCACCCCCCACTCCAGCAACCCTCAGTTTGTTTCCTGCAATTAAGAATTCCTCATATCAGTGAGATCATATGATACATGTCTTTCTCTGTTTGACTTATTTCACTCAACATAATACCCTCCAGTTCCATCCATGTCGTTGCAAATGGCAAGATCTCATTCCTTTTGATGGCTGCATAATATTCCATTGTATATATATACCACATCTTCTTTATCCATTCATCTGTAAATGGACATCTTGGCTCTTTCCACAGTTTGGCTATTGTGGACATTGCTGCTATAAACATCGGGGTGCACGTACCCCTTCGGATCCCTACTTTTGTATCTTTGGGGTAAATACCCAGTAGTGCAATTGCTGGATCATATGGTAGCTCTATTTTCAACTTTTTGAGGAACCTCCATACAGTTTTCCAGAGTGGCTGCACCAGCTTGCATTCCCACCAACAGTGTAGGAGGGTTCCCTTTTCTCTGCATCCCCGCCAACATCTGTCGTTTCCTGACTTGTTAATTTTAGCCATTCTGACTGGTGTGAGGTGGTATCTCATTGAGGTTTTGATTTGGATTTCCCTGATGCCGAGCAATATTGAGCACTTTTTCATGTGTCTGTTGGCCATTTGGATGTCTTCTTTGGAAAAATGTCTATTCATGTCTTCTGCCCATTTCTTAATTGGATTCTTTGTTCTTTGGGTGTTGAGTTTGATGAGTTCTTTATAGATTTTGGATACTAGCCCTTTATCTGATACGTCATTTGCAAATATCTTCTCCCATTCTGTCGGTTGTCTTTTGGTTTTGTTGACTGTTTCTTTTGCTGTGCAAAAGCTTTTTATCTTGATGAAGTCCCAATAGTTCATTTTTGCCCTTGCTTCCCTTGCCTTTGGCGATGTTTCTAGGAAGAAGTTGCTTCGGCTGAGGTCAAAGAGGTTGCTGCCTGTGTTCTCCTTTAGGATTTTAATGGACTCCTGTCTCACATTGAGGTCTTTCAACCATTTGGAGTCTATTTTTGTGTGTGAAAACCCGAGATTTTAACCAATAGTAAATAGCTAGGCAGACAAAGGTACATTCCTTGGCTGACATATAGACCAGGGGGCCAAATCTGGCCCTGCTGCTTACATTTGTAATAAAGTTTTATTGGAACACAGTCACAGCCATTTGTTTACATGTTGTCTAAGGCTTCCTTTGCTTCACAATAAGAGAGAGTGCTAAGACAACAGAGTTGAATAGTTAAGCATAGAGCCTGAAAGCCTGAAATATTTTACTATATGGACCTTTACAGGAAAAGCTTCCAGACCCCTGCTAGAGAATTCATTCTTTTTTTTTTTTTAAGATTTTATTTATTTATTGGACAGAGACACAGCGAGAGAGGGAACACAAGCAGGGAGAGTGGGAGAGGGAGAAGCAGGCTTCCCGCGTATCGGGGAGCCCAATACGGGGCTCCATTCCAGGACCCTGAGATCATGACCTGAGCTGAAGGCAGATGCTTAACGACTGAGCCACCCAGGCGCCCCTAGAGAATTCATCCTTGGGTGGGCTTGTTCAACAATGTCCTAGATAACATTGAAAGAACTATGCTGCCCTCTCTTGGTCTTATTTCCAAATTCTGGATAATTTTTCTTCAAAAGGAGAAGCATGGCTTAAGAATAGGGGGGACAGGGGCCCCTGGGTGGCTCAGTCAGTTAAGCGTCTGCCTTTGGCTCAGGTCATGATCCCAGGGTCCTGGGATCGAGCCCCACATCCGGCTCCCTGCTCGGCAGGAAGCCTGTTTCTTCCTCTTCCGCTCCCCCTGCTTGTGTTCCCTCTCTCCCTGTCTCTCTCTCTGTCAACTAAATAAATAAAATCTTAAAAAAAAAAAAAAAAAGAGGGGGGACATTTGAGAGTTGTTATCGCTGGCCTGTAATTCCTAAATCCTCCCATCCACCCACTCCAACACCCCAACACCCCTTTCTACGTTGGTGACTATCTCGATGCCCCTTAGCCTCCCAGCCCTTTCCTTGGAGGGTGGAACTTATGAAAATCAAGTACAATAGGCCTGAAGAATTATTGGTGATAAGGAATGTCCTTTACAGCATCATTTTCGCTCAAGAGGGCATTCTGTTTCTTAATAGGACTCCAGTTAGGGCTTGTGCCTCATACTTGCACAGTCACATGGAAGGTTTTTTGGGGGAGGAATGTAGGGGAAGAAGGGTCCTCTCAGCTTCTTTGAATTAAGTTCCAGAGCTGTTGCAAACTGTTAAGTTCAGAGAAGGCAGCGGCGGTGTGTACTTGACCACTGTTGTTTCCATGGTTCCTGGCACACAGTAGGTACTCAGTAAATTACTGAGTAAGTGACTAAACCAATGGAAGAATAAAGACAGAGGGTATGGGGGCACCTGGGTGGCTCAGTCGTTGGGCATCTGCCTTTGGCTCCGGTCATGATCCCAGGGTCCTGGGACCGAGGCCCACATCGGGCTCCCTGCTCGGCGGGAAGCCTGCTTCTCCCTCTCCCACTCCCCCTGCTTGTGTTCCCTCTCTCGCTGTGTGTCTCTCTGTCAAATAGATAAATAAAATCTTAAAAAAAAAAAAAAAAAAATGACAGAGGGTATGTTTTCCCCTCCGGGTTAGCTCTGGCTGAGGAACAGTTTTGGTGACAAAGGTTGCCACCTGCAGGACAAATGTGAAACTGCAAGATTCAAAGCTGCTAAAGCCTCGAGAATACAGTCAACTTCAGGTTAAGATGATCAGAGAATCAACTGTTCTCCTTTAGCTTTTGGCAGAATTAATCAATATCACTTTGTCCTTTCCTTTTTTTTTTTTTTTTTTTTAAGTATGCTCTACGCCGAACGTGGGGCTCGGACTTATGACCTAGAGATCAGGAGTCACATGTGATGTAGGAAAGAACGTTACGGTTCAAAGCTGACGGCCACGAAAGAATTCTTGAGACATTTTTTGGTGCAAAAAGGTGGTTTTATTAAAGCACGGGGACAGGACCTGTGGGAAGAAAGAGCTGCACTGGGGTCATGAGGAGTGAGTGGCCCACTATATACTTTCAAGTTGGGAAGGGGTTAGGGATAGCATAAATCTCTAAGGAATTTTGGAAGCAAGGTTTCCAGGACCTTGAGGGGGCTAGCTGTTGTTGAGAAAAGGTCATTTATTACTGTCTAATAAAACCTTAGTCATGAGACCCTTCAGATGTATATTGGTGGGCCATATGCTTGGGGGATGATTGCCAACACATATCTTGGGAGTTTAGAGATAAAGGAAATTTCTAAAGGAATTTTTATATGTTAAAGTAGACTTACAGGATCCTGGGGTGTGGGGGTCAGGCTAGGATTGTCTTTTGCCCTTAGCTAAGTGTCAATATCGAGGCAGCTGAGTCCCTAGAGGAATGTCACTCTGTATCAAGAACTTGTCAGTGGGCTCTAGGTAGTAAGGGAATTTAGTAATTATTCTTCTGCCTTTGTTTCCCACATCATCATGCTTTACTGACTGAGTCTGCCATGCACTTCATTTCATCCTTTCCAATTAAGGAATGCTGTACCCTTTCTTTAATAACATTTTAAACCTTCGGAGTGCTTAATAAGTGTCCAGTACCACGCCACACATTCATACAATTTTGCGACCAGTCCCACTGTTATCCCCATTTTATAAATGAGGAATGTGAGCACAGAAAGCCTGCCCAAGATTACACAGCTCAAAAGTAGTAGAACCAGGGATCTGGACCCAAACACCGTGGGTGTACTTTTCATCATTCACTTTGCTACCTCCGTACTCATGATATGGAAAATGTTTACATGAATCATAGAGAAACATGGTGGAGAGGACCCATGCACTTAATCTCTGTGCTCCCCTGAAACACACAAACATGATGGAAGAGGGAGCAAAAAGGTCTAAACCCACACAGAACGAGAGAGATGATGACTGCTCCTGAGAGATGTCAAATCCTTTTCGGAGGCCAGAAAGTGGATGGAGGATTTGGCCGAGTGGAGAAGCCCTAGGTCTTGCAGAAGGAGTTGCCAAGGAGGAGCAAGCCAGTTGCAGCTGCGGAGCCCCGGAAGGGCTCCGGGATCGAAGGTCCCAGGTACGTGGGGGGAGAGTTGGGAATCAAAGCAGACCATTAATTGTACCAGTAACATATCCTTGGAGTCCAATAACATAACCTCAGATTCCCCTCCTGTGATGCCTTGCCTTGATCCTTGCAGAAGATTGGGTGTTTATTCTTTGGAGAACATCAAACAGAACAGCTCTAAGTTCAGAGATAGCATTCAGACAAAAGAATGGAGGCAACGGGATAAAAACAGAGGGATTAAATGAAAGCGCGCAGCTAAAAAGAAATCTCCTGTTTTTTAAATACCCATGTGTTTGGTGATAGTATTGGCATTGTTATTCTGAGACTTAGCCCTGTGCTAAGTGTGTATTTTGGGATTAATCAAGTAATAAATTATGTTGGGGTTATCGAGAACTGATCTTTATGGTGTGGGAGAAAATAAATGCATATGCAAGATCGATATGTTTAAATAAAACCCCTTGGGGGGTTTTGGGGCACCTGGGTGGCTCAATCAGTTAAGCCTCTGCCTTGGGCTCGGGTCATGATTTTAGGGTCCGGGGATTGAGCCCTTCATTGGGCTCCCTGCTCGGCAGGGAGTCTGCTTCTCCCTCTCCCTCTGATCCTTCTCCCCATTTGTGCTTTCTCTCTCTGTCTCAAATAAATAAAAAAATTAAAAAAAAAAACCCTCTAGTCTTGATTTTATTTATTTTTATTTTTGTGGTTTTTTAAAAGATTTTAATTTTAAGTAATCTCTACACTGAACATGGGGCTTGAACTCACAACCCTGAGATCAAGAGTCGCAGGCGCCACTGATTGAGCCAGCCGGGTGCCCCATTGTCTTGGTTTTAATTGGAACTGTCAGTATGATAGATTTTATCAGAAAATTTAAGTACCCAGTTAATAAGAGATGGAACTAGATTAACCCAGACTGGTCTTGCTCTGAAATTTATGAGAATCTGCCTCCTTGGTGGGTCAGGGCTGGGGGGCCTCCTGGAGGAGGTGAAATCTGAAGGATAAGTAGGAGCAATAAATGGACATCTCTTCTGATCTCTGGAAGATCTGCTTATCATGATCCAGTAATGCTGGGCTAATCTGGAAAGATTTTGTTTCTGAAATGTCAAAATGGAGAGCCAGCCTGCAAATCATGGTGACCAGTGACCAACAGAAGTTACCTGGGCAGCAAAATGGTCTCTCTCTGTGCCATCTCTTAAAAAAAATTTTAAGAATGACACATATTTTTGATAATGCCTGAAAGCAAACACTTCTTATGGTACAATCATAGAAGCCTACAGTATTTGTTGGAGTCTAATTTTTTTTAGACTTGAAAATGTTCACAACTTTTAAAATTTGCTTTCAAGTCTAGTTTAAGCAGTAGACATTGGGCAAAGCTGGGAGGAAAGAAGGATTTTTGTCCTATTTTCCAATTGTTCTCCCTAATGGAATATAAGAATGATGATTAAGAGGGGATACATAGGGGTGACTGGGTGGCTCAGTCAGTTAAGCATCTACCTTCAGCTCAGGTCATGATCCTGGGGTCCTGGGACCAAGCCCCACGTTGGGCCCCCGATGAGTGGGGAGTCTGCTTCTCCCTTCCCCCCTCCCCCAGCCCCATCTCTCAAATAAATAAATGAAATCTTTTTAAAAAAGATGAGGAACATATGTCTTAAAATTTTATTTTGTTTTTGTGTTCATTTAATTTAAAAATCAATTTTATTTTATTTTTTAAGTAAGCTCTATGCCCAACATGGGGCTTGAACTCAACCCTGAGATCAGAAGTCACATGCTCCATGGGCTGAGCCAACCAGGCACCTCAAGAAAAATCAATTTGATTTTAACTGAAAAGTAATACAGGCACAATAGATTGAAGAATGACTTGCCTTCCTTCCTTCTCCCCAGAAACCGTTACAATTACCAGCTTATGTCTTGAAGAGAACATTTTAAAAGGAAACTTTTAGGCCTGTTCATGATTCATGTTGGAGGGGATAGAAGTTAAAATATGACTGATATTTTATTATCCCATAGAGTAAGAAGCTGCCTTTGAGGAAGAATTTGTAGTTAGATTCAAATCGGAAGGACATTCATTCATTCTTTTAAGGAATTTACAAACGATCTCGATAAAAAAGAGATATCAGTTTGCGTGTTTGTCCAAACAGACCTAGATAAAATAAATCTTTTCTCATCAGGCCATTCCCCCCGCCCCCCTAATAAATTGACAATAATATAGAGATGGGGATTCTGGAGTTTGGAATTAGTGTTGATTCCGTCCAGATTTTTTTTTTTTTTTAAAGAGTGAGAGAGCACACCATTGGAGGGGAGAGGCAGAGGGAGAGGGAGAAGCAGGCTCCCTAGAGGGAGCCCTATGTGGGGCTCGATCCTGGGGATCTGGGATCATGACCTGAGCCGAAGGCAGATGCCCAATGCGGGGCTTGATCCCAGGACCCCAGGATCATGACCTGAACGGAAGGCAGATGCCCGACTGAGCCGCCCAGGCGCCCCTCCATCCAGATTTTTCATAACCATGGTCACGATAACTCTGAAGTTTCCAGGACATCCCAATTTTTTTACTGTCTTCATAACGACATGCAGACTTGTCAGATCATGGGTCCTGATTTTGGGTAAGGAAAACATTCTTCAACAGTGTGAGGTTGAGGCTTCTGACATAGGCTTACCCAATCTTGTGTTTCCTCTTCTTTGGTCTCCACATTCTTTCCAACGGATTTAGGTTAATAAAAGGTACATGCTTTGAAACAAGCCGTAATAGAAATGACTGACCCCATGACAGGGCAAAATGAAGCAGGTTCAGGCCTCAAGAAGAATTCACTAACAGGCTTCCAGTAAGGGGTGAATAAAAGCAGAACTACCTGCAGGTCCTGAGGACAATGATGAAAACATGTTTACCACAGAGAAAGAAATAGAAGTGGGGGAGGGGAGAGCAGTGCCCCTCAGTGGCACCGAGAGGCCAACTCACTTCCATTTTTTTGAGGCTCTTTGTCTACAGAAAAACGAAGAATTCATTTCTTCATTGGATGTTTAACAAATGCTTTTGGCACCCCAAGATTAAAATGCGGTGTAAGGGTGCCATCACAAGATGACCGAATTTATTAAAAACCCACTAATAAAGCCATAATGAGATACCACCACACACTTATTAGAATAGCTAAAAATGAAAATGAAAACAAAACTGACCATACCAAGTTTTTATGAGCATGTGAAGCAACTAGAAATCTCTTATCTTGCTGGTGGGAATGCAAAATGTACAGTCACTTTGGAACAAAGTTGGGCAATTTCTTGTAAAATTAAACAGACACCCACCGTAAAACACAGAAATCTTACTCCTAGGTATATACTCCCAAGAGAAATGAAAATGTATGTTCATACAAAATCTGTATATGAATGTTTAGAGTGACTTTACTTATAATTGCCCAAAACTGGGAAGACCCAAATACCTTCAACTGGTGAATGAAAAAATAGTGGTATATCCATCATGGAATACTTGTCAGCAATAAAAAGGAGTGGACTGAAATAAACTTGCATATATGGCCAAATGATTTTTAACAAGGATGCCAAGGCTACACAATGATATTATAATAGTGTTATATGGTGACAGATGGTAGCTACACTTGTGGGGAGTGTAGCAACATATATAAACTTAACGAAACACTATGTTGTACACCAGAAACTAATGTAACATTAGGTGTCAACTGCACAGATAAATTTTTTTTTAAAAAAAGAAATGTGTGGGCGTCTGGGTGGCTCAGTTGGTTAAGTGACTGCCTTCGGCTCAGGTCATGATCCTGGAGTCCCAGGGTGGAGTCCTGCTTTGGGCTCCCTGCTGAGTGGGGAGCCTGCTTCTCCCTCTGACCCTCCCCCCTCTCATGTGCTCTCTCTCTCTGATTCTCTCTCTCTCCAATAAATAAATAAAATCTTAAAAAAAATAAAAAAGGAAATGTGATATATATATACACACAATGAAATATTATGCAGCCTTTTAAAAAAAAGGCCATTGGTTTTTCAGGCTCCTCATATCAGGCAGCTTCCAAATGCTGTAACCTGGATGAACCTCAAGGATAACCACTATGGTTCCACTTATTTTTTATTTTTTTTTTAAAGATTTTATTTATTTATTTGACACAGAGAGAGAGGGAACACAAGCAGAGGGAGCAGGAGAGGGAGAAGCAGGCTTCCCGCCAAGCAGGGAGCCCGATGCGGGGCTCGATCCCAGGATCCTGGGATCATGACCTGAGCCGAAGGCAGACGCTTAACGACTGAGCCACCCAGGCGCCCCATGGTTCCACTTATATGAAGTGTCTAAAGTAGTCAGAATCACAAAAACAGAAAATAGAGAGGTGGTCATGAAGGGCTGGGGGGAGGGGCAGGGAAATTAGTATTTAGTGGGTAGAGTTTCAGTGTTGTAAGACAAAAAAGTTCTAGAGATCTATTGCACAACAATGTGAAAACACTCAACACTACTGAACTGTATACTTAAAAATTATTATGATGGTAAGTTTAATGTCATGTGTTTTTTACACATTATTGTTATTATTAATAATAATAAAAGGAACGGATTATTGACACAAACAATGTAAAAAAATCTCAAAGGCATTAGGTTAAGTGAAGAGCCAGTCTCAAATGGCTGCATACTGAATGATTCCATTGATGTGACATTCTGGAGAAGGGAAAATCTTAGGGACAGAATATAGATTACTGTCCTAAAGAGCTGGGCCAGTGGGAAGGGTTTGGGGGTGGTAAAATTGTTCTATATCTTGATTGTGATTGTGGTTACATGGCTGTATGTGTTTGTTAAAACTCATAAAACTATACCAAAAAACCCCTGTACATCGATGCATGAGAAAAACCTGTACAGCAAAAACTACACAAAGAAATTTATACTGTATATAAATTATCCCTCATGAAACTGACTAAAAAGAAATATGGAGTAAATATGGCAAAATGTCAAATCTGGTCACAGTACAGTGTAACTTTCATCATTTCTGTATGCAAATAATAAAGCCAAAAATGATTCTTAAAAACCCAACTAGTTTATTCGAACTGCAGTATGGTCCATTAATAGGATGCAGTTTTAAAGTTGTTTGGTAGACAAGGAATTCTTATTTCATTCTTGTGAGTGTATGTCTGTGACCATATTTATTACCTCATTTCCAGAAAAGGTCAAACTTGTAAATTTGGGAACTTCCAAGAATGTGAAGTCTGCTCAAATAGTCCTCCTGTCCCCATAGTGTTTCAGAACAAGAATAATGCCTGGTGGTTGACTGGGCACATGAAGAATGGGAGGCGGAGAGAAACTGAGGATTATTTTCTTCTGGGTGTTGATTTAGAAATCAATTACTGGACTGCTCACTTCAACCAAAGTGGTAGAGTCAATCCTTTGTCCTCACACAGCCTTGATCTCCTTGTAGTGCTAAGCAATTCCTTTATAAAGCTTGATGGTTCTGCCTCCCTATCTGTAAAATACTTGGCTAAGTTGAATAAAGATAGGAAAAACTGGATACCTAATTTTAGACAGGTGAGAAACCAGTTCACCCCAAACCATACCAAAGACCAAGTCAGAGTGGTTAACGCTGCCTTAAAAAGTCAGCCTTAGCTATTTTTCCACCTAGCCACTCCTGTCTTTGGTTTTTCAGGATCCTCATATCAGGCAGCTTCCAAATGCAGAATTCCAAAGAGCTGAATTGTCTTGATTCCTCCCAATGTTGGCACAGACTATAAGGAATTGAGAACGCCAATAATCCTAGAGAAACAGATGGACATTTTTAATCACAAACATTTATGCACAACCCAAATGATGCAGTTTTGGATAAAATACAGAAATTGATCTTGGCCTTCCTTGTGTCCTTCCATCCTAATGAGGGAACCTGCCAAGGGCAGGGGAGAAGGAAGGGAGAAAGGATCCTCTAGGTTGAAAGATGAAAAAAGCCTGGCAGAAATGGGTCACCTGTGAAAGGAAAAGTCTCAATGTTCCCAAGATTTGCAAAATGGATCTGAGTTGATGGTAGTCCTCATTTCAACTTTGCAAGATGTCATAAAATTACCTTTGGGCAACCTACCAAGTATTTGAGATTGGACAAAAAGGGGTGGTGAGATGATTTCCCAAACCATAAAATGAAAATGTTATAGCCAAAGGACTCTTCATCAAAGTTTAATCCAGCAGCCTAAAATTTCAAAATAGAAAACAAGACAAAGTGATTCACAGATATTAAGGAATAGAAAAGAAAGTAGTACCTGGAAGTAAAGAGAAGGTTTAAAAAAATAATAGGTCCTGAAATAAAGGTTAGGAAAATACAGTTTTGTTTTTTTAAAGGGAAGCATTACATTAGTTGTTAAAAATGGTCCAGAATTTCAGTCAGATGTTAAAGCAATCCTTCGCAGGAAAAAAAAAAAAAAAAAAGGAAATATCTGTAGTACACCTTTGATCCAATTATATTTTTCTACACTTTCTCTGGTATGCCAGAGAAAGGTGCTCAAGGTGACACTTTGATGATTTAACTTTGCTATATAAATTTAATAAACTAGGTACATGTACTATTTTGGCATTTTTTCCTGAATTGGTAAACGTGTTTCTTGAGTAAATACCATGACATTTCAATTTGACATTTACTTCTGAATTGTAAGGAAATTAAGTGTCAACGATATAGCCAACATCCCTGGGCTGGTCTGGGGTATCTTTATAAATAAGCCAGTTTAGACTGGAGGGGCTTTCCTAAGTAAGTCTTGTGGTCTCCATGTCATTTTGTAGAGTTATATACAGATTTTTTTTTTCATTTAAAACTTACACATCATTCTACTTAATTTTTGTCAAGTTTTTTTGTTTGTAAAAAAGTGAAGTGTTCATTTGTCCCCCTTATTACAACAGGATGACTAGAAGTTATCTGGCGACCTCCTTAGATCCAGCTATCTAAAACAAAAAAGACAAAGCTGGTGTTGACAGGGTGTGTGACAGAGAAAATTCAAGGACGATGAAGTGGTCTCTGTGCTACTAGCTGTGGGAGAGAGGATCCCAAATTTTCGTCCCCTCAGTGGTTACATCGGGACCTTTGTTAAAAATATTGATTCCTGTATTATGCAGCCATCAAAAGGAATGAGATCTTGCCATTTGCAACGACGTGGATGGAACTGGAGGGTATTATGTTGAGTGAAATAAGTCAAACAGAGAAAGATATCTATCATATGATCTCACTGATATGAGGAATTCTTAATTGCAGGAAACAAACTGAGGGTTGCTGGAGTGGGGGGTGGGGTGGGAGGGTGGGGTGACTGGGTGATAGACACTGGGGAGGGTATGTGCTCTGGTGAGCACTGTGAATTGTGCAAGACTGTTGAATCTCAGATCTGTACCTCTGAAACAAATAATGCAATATATGTTAAGAAAAAAAAAGAAGGTAGTGGGAGGGGAAGAATGAAGCGGGGGAAATCGGAGGGGTGGACGAACCATGAGAGACAATGGACTCTGAAAAACAAACTGAGGGTTCTAGAGGGGAGGGGGGTGGGAGGATGGGTTGGCCTGGTGGTGGGTATTGAGGAGGGCACGTTCTGCATGGAGCACTGGGTGTTATGCACACACAATGGATCATGGAACACTTCATCTAGAACTAATGATGTAATGTATGGGGATTAACATAAGAATAAAAAAAATATTGATTCCTGGACACTGCCCTAGATTTACTGAGTCTGAATTCCGGGTCACAACTTGGAAATATGCATTTTTTTAAACAAGCGCCTTAGTCCGCTTGGAAACCACCGCGGGAATTCGGAAGTCCTTCGCCCCCACTAGCTTCACAGAGCCTTGCGTCAGCGTCCCTCGTCCCGCCCCCGCCCCGCCCCCGCCCCGCCCCCGTCACCGCCCCCGTCACCGCCCCCACCGCGGCCGGCCTTGCCCAGGCCCCGCCCCCCGCCCCCGCGGTCTCGTGCGGCCTCGCGGGACCCTTCCCGTAATGCCCCGCGCCGAGCCGCCGCGGTTGCCAGGCAATGCACCATCCTTGGCGCCGGTCGCGTAGAGTTCCGCTCGGCCATGGGGCCGCAGCGCCTCCCGCCGCTCCTGCTTATGCTCCTGGATTGCTGGGCCTCCGTGAGCGCCCAAAGCAGGGCAGCTCCGCCTGTGACGACGGAAGGCCTCAACTCTACGCAGGCAGCCGGGACGACTCTCCGACCCGCCTTGTCTCCTAGGCCCTCTGGAACCCCCAAGGCCCCCGTGCCCTCCACCGGCCCCAGGCCCACGCCGGTCACGGACGGTGGGTACCAAGGAGCAGTTCCTGGGGATCCAGAGTGATCCAGCTTGGAGCGGGTGGCCCGGGTGAGGCTGTCGTCATGAGAGTAAACGTTTATTGGACACTTGCTGTGTGCGGGCATTGCTGAGTGTTTCATAGGTGTTGACTGTCTCAGCAACCGGTGGGGTAGACCTCCTTGTCCCTCTCAGAAGAGAAAACCGAGGCTCAGAGAGCGTCAGTGGGACAGTATAAAGTCTTTGAAATAGCTTGCAGTGGTCCTGGACAACATTAACGCTAAAGGTAGTAATGAACGAGTCGCTGCACCTTTGCCACCAGCGATGAAATTATGTAAATCCAAAGTTTCTGGGCAGTTGTGGAAACTGAATGCATAGGTTGTGTTGAACTTTTCATTTAGCAAAAAGAAACGCCAGGGGTCTAGTTTCCATAAATACGACTAGGCCCTTGTCTGTGGACTTGAATTAGGAAACCCCAGAATTCCTCCTGTGTTGGAGGTGGGAAACAACGGGGTGAGGGGTTATGTCCACCTCTTAGGATTCATCATTAGGGATAATCAACATATTTCTCAGGAAATGGTCTAATTCTGGAGTTAGATTAGTGAATATTTTATAATCTGATTTGATATGGATGAGTTAAGGGGATGGATGTGACCCTGAGATGGCTGTACCCTGAGTGCAAAATTTTGTGAATGTGCATTTTTCTGGGTGAGGGTTCTTAGCAGTTTCTCAAAGGGGTTTGTGATCTCAAAAAACCCCCACAAAACCCAAAACCCTTTAAGTCCTGTGACTGTAAACCCAATATGTATGCGTTTTGTTTTTTTTTTTTTTTTTTTCCCCCTTCGTAAGAGAAGAAGACCTTGAGTAAAGCTCAGTATTTAGTAAATAGAAAACTCATCCTTGGGGATATCTTGTACTCTAGGACTTCAGTTCCTGAATCATCATTTCTCCAAAGGGCCTCCCTTATAAATTAGTAAGGAATATGCATAAGTAAAAGTATAAATGAGTAAGGAAAAGTACAGAGAAATACATTCTCTATTTCAGTATATAATAAAGCTTTTTTTTAAATAAAGCTTTTTTTTTTTAAATAAAGCTTTTATAGCGAAACTGTTGATTTAATGAATTAGTTGAGGAGGTAAATAAGTGATAAATGGGGACAGACTACAGCATAGTATTCAATATCCTAAAATTCTCTAAGGTTTTTGGACTGGGTTGTCTTTTATCCATCTAAGTATTCCATCTGTTTATGTGATTTTTCCCCCAAATGAAGCTATTCTTGGACCATCATTATTAGGGCCTGTGTTCAGGGTTGTTTTTCCAGCATGGGGGGATGAATTTGCACTTCATCTTTTTAAAGGGCCTGCTTTAGGCCGGTGAAAGTAATGATAAAAGATGACAGCTGGGATTTATTCACTGCTTACTGTGTAGCAGGCTCTGTGCTAAGCTTTTTGTCTGTAATGTATCTCAGTTAATCCCCTATGATGTGGGTTATCCCCATTTTTCAGGTAGGTGAATTATTTGCCTGATTTTAGGTCACACCCCTGGCAGGTGTTGGAGCAGGGGCTGACTCTTGAGTGGAGAACTGGACACCATGTGCAGGATGGGTTACAGGTGGGAAGAGAAGTAACTTTCATCTTGATCTGAGCTCTGTTCCTTAGCGTCTTGCTCTAGAGCCAGGCACGTTGATGTTAAGAGGTGTAGAAGAACAGCTGAGAGCTACTCAGACCTTGGGAGTGCTCAGCAGATACTTGTTGGCTGATTAAGTACACTCACATCCTGGATAGAGACCTCCCCCCACCCCAGTGGAGTTATTAAACACTATTGCTTTGTCCTTACTAGTCTTATAGCTACTTATAAGGGTTTTGAGTTCTGAAAAAAATCAAGATTGTGAATTTAAACACATAAGGCAGGGAGCCTAAACACTATTTTTTATATTAACATGCTCGAATTGCATTTTCATTTTACCAAGCACATGGAAGAGTGCTTGGTGAGAGGGAAGTATGTTAGCTTACGGGAGAAGACTCCCGTGTCTCAGATTAAGAAAGGATTGTGTATTGGCAAAACCTTCCTCTTATTCATACACTTCTTTCCAGAGTATGCTATTTTACCTTTTTTTGAGCTATATTTTTCTAAAGTTCATTTTTGTTGTGAACTAGTTCATACATGCAAATCGGAATGTTGTATGGAATCTCTGCCACCATTTGCTTTAGATCCTTCTTTTGCATGAGATTTTTTTTGAAAAAGGAAACATTATAGGCAAGACAAGTGTGATCTTATTTTCCCCTTCCCAGCAATAATTACTGCCATGAATTCAGTGTTTATCCTTCTTATGCTCTGCCATCTTTATTTTTTATTTTTTTAAAGATTTTATTTATTTGAGAGAGCGAGAATGAGAGGGAGAGAGAGAGAGAGCACACGAGAGGAGGAAGGGTCAGAGGGAGAAGCAGACTTCCTGCTGAGCAGGGAGCCTGATGTGGGACTCGATCCCAGAACTCCAGGATCATGACCTGAGCTGAAGGCAGTCGCTTAACCGACTGAGCCACCCAGGCGCCCCCGCTCTGCCATCTTTAAAAGGGTTTTTTTTCCTCCCCTGGTTGACAAATAAAATAGGGAATTTAAAGTCCAGAGAGTCATTATGATTAAAAATTAAATGTTGTTGGGGGTACCTGGGTGGTTCAGTCAAGCTTCCAACTCTTGGTTTGGGCTTAGGTCATGATCTCAGGGTTGTGGGATTGAGCCCCTCAGGGGACTCCTTGCTGAGTATGGAGTCTGCTTAAGATTCTCTCTAGCCCTCAGACCCTTCCTCCCCGCCCCTCCTCACGTGCTCTCTTTCTAAAAATAGAAAAATCAAATGTTGCAAAGTGGGGAGATTTCTCTTCCCGTCATGCTTTATTGTCTAAATTAAAGATAGGGCGCCTGCATGGCTCATTCGGTTAAGTGTCTGCCTTTGGCTCAGGTCATGGTCCCGGAGTCCTAGGATCAAGCCTCACAGGAAGTCTCCTTCTTCTGCCCTTCACCTCGCTTGTGCTCGCTCTCTCTCAAATAAATAAATAAAATCTTTAAAGAAAAAGTAAATTACCAAAGATATTTCCAGAACCCCAAGTACAAAGCACCTGAGCCAGTTTGATTCTTGGTCAATGTGCATGTGGGCTCAGCTTCAAAGCTGCAGGTGACACCTGAAGAGAGAAACAAGTTGGAGAGCCCTGAGTCCTGGTGGACTTCATTGGGCTATTCCTCTGAATCAGAGTCTCCAGAGGTGGAGCTTGGGAATCTGTACTATCACACCAGTGGTTCTTATGGTCCGGCAAGTGATTTAGCGTGCTGGTTAAATTATCAGCATCACCTGGAAAGTTTTTGAAAAACAGATGTCTGGGTTTCCTAGCTTACCGACTGGTGGTTCTAATGGGCAGAGAAGTGATTTAGCGTGCTGGTTCTTAAACCTGTTTTAATTAGCATCACCTGGATGTTTTTTAAAGACTTTATTTATTTGAGACAGAATGAGAGAGAGCACATGAGAGGGGGGAGGGCCAGAGGGAGAAGCAGACTCCCTGCCGAGCAGGGAGCCCGATGCGGGACTCGATCCAGGGACTCCAGGATCATGACCTGAACCGAAGACAGTCGCTCAACCAACTGAGCCACCCAGGCGCCCCACCTGGATGATTTTTAAAAACACAAATGCCTGGGTTTCATAGCTTACCAAATCAGAGTCCTTGTAGGTAGAGCACAAACAGAACTTTCCAAGTGAGTCAGATGATTAGCTACTTTGGGGAAACCTCAGATTGAGAAGCATTCAAACTGACTAATTTTCACTTCACAGATCGCCCTCAAAGTGCAATAGGAAAAATAAAATAGACCTTTTGTATGAAATGGACTTTTGGTACTTTGCAGTGGCAGGGGGCAGTCACTCCTTGCTGATGGAGAAGTTCTGCATCCTACCTCTTGTTTCTGTAGTTGCTGCTCTGTGTGTCTGTGACCTGGCTCCAGCACAGTGTGACGTCAACTGCTGTTGTGATCCTGATTGCAGCTCCATGGATTTCAGCGTTTTTTCTGCCTGTTCAGTTCCGATTGTCACGTAAGTTGGTGATGCATGCAGTTTTGATGAAATTGGACCAAGATTATAAAATCTGGGGACAGAAAGTGAAAAATTTTCCAGGCTGAAAAACCCAAAGCTGGGTTTCTTGAATTTTGTGTCATTGAGAAGCCGTGCTGTCCAAACCAATATGTAGAAGAGTATCTCTCCCTTATTTGCATACTGCCAGATGATAGTGGAGGCAAAAGACGAGAGAGTGTACTTTGTTAAGAGTATAAGGAAATCTTTGTATTCAGAGATTGAATTACATTTCACTCTGATTTGTAAACAGATAATGTGCACATTTTTGTATAAGCGAATTAGTCTCATGTATATAGCCTAGGGTGGAAAGTGCAGTTGAATTTTACAGCTTTTGTTGTGAACATAGTACTTGTAACAAAAAATTAGACAGGAAAGCTTTGTTTACACTTTTCCGATATGTAAATCTACCAGGAATTCTCACAGTTCACATTGTATAGGAGGACAATGGAAAGTGATATTCCCAGTCGATTACAAGGTAAAGAAACAGTCTCTTCTGAATAATTGGTTTCTCGTAATTCAGACTTCAAAGGTCTTTGAAAAATACAGTACTTAAAAGAGGTTAATTTATTCAGGATGGGACCAATTATTCAGAGATAGCTAACTTAAATTTAGTCTTGTAGCAAATTGTAGCAATTGATACTTGATAGATTGAATGCTTTTTGGAAATACAGTGTGTTTTTTCCACGAAAAACTATCTTTTCTTCTTTTTTAAGATTTTAATTTGAGAGTGAGTGCACACACAGCATAAGGTGGGAGGAGGGGCAGAGGCAGAGAGAGAATCTCAAGCAGACGCCATGCCAGCTGTTGGGCTCATCTCACAACCCATGAGATCATCACCTGAGCCGAAATCAAGCGTCAGACACTTGACCAACTGAGCCACCCAGGTGCCTCTCATGAGAAACTATATTACTGACCAATGGGAAATTGAATCTGCTTCTAATATTGTAAAAATGTTTGGAGAATGGTATGTTGTAGTCAGAATATTTTTCTGGGTATCTGGACTACAACGTGGTTCAGTCTTTGTTAGAAATCATTCTGCTTTTCTGCCTTAATAAGTATCAAAAGCCTGAGAGTGAGATTTTGGCTCTATTCAAGATCATAATTTAGAATGTCGTATTTTCTTTTATTAGTTAACACTGAATTTTATTTTATTTTTTTAAAGATTTTATTTTAGTTGACAGAAAGGGAGAGCACAAGGAGGCAGAGCGGCAGGCCGAGGGAGAAGCAGGCTCTCCGAGGAGCAAGGAGCCCGATGCGGGGCTCGATCCCAGGGCCCTGGGATCATGACCTGAGCCGAAGGCAGACGCTTAACGACCGAGCCACCCAGGTGCCCCTTATTAGTCAACACTGAATTTTAGATATAGACTATTTAGAATGTGGGTCAGGAAGCTTTTTCTGTAAAAGGCCATAGAGTAAATATTTTAAGCTTCAGAGGCCAGTGGTTTCTGTTGCAACTTCCTCACCTCTACCATTGATGAGCCAAAGCAGCCATGTAAATGAATGGGCATGACTATGTTTCAGTCAATCTTCATTCACAAAATTAGGTGTGGTTTGTGTATAGAAGTTAGAGCTGAATCCATGGTGCCCTCAGGAAAGGACCTCAGAATTTTTTTGAGTTAGTTTTGCTTATGACTTTTTCCTAAAAAAGAAGTGTAGAAATAAATCAAAATTGATAATCCCAATTAATTGATTATTCTCATTAGGTTCTAATTCATAAGAGGTTTGTTTACATCTGCTAAACTGTCAACAGCTAATCCTATCATCTAATGATTTGTAAATTTATTGTTAAGATTATTGGATTAATGTCTGTTCACCTCACTAGATGTAAACTTCACGAGAGCAAGGATAATATCCCTTACAGCAGTAGTACTTAGCACAACTCCTGCCACATAGTTGGCCCTCATTAGAAGTGAGTTGAATCAGTGAATGAATTTCTCCCCTCCACCCCTAACCAACCCTCTAGTATTCTCTTGACTTCTCTACCATTGTTCTCTCAGGCAGACACCTAGGCCAGAACCTGGAGGCTACCCTGACTCCTGCCTCTCCTTTGCCTTCTCACATCTAGCCTTCTTTCACACCACGCCTTACCTTTCACAAGCACCAGGGATGTAAGGTGAGCTGGATGTGGCCCTGCCCTCCAGGAGCTCATTGAGTAAGGGAGATAGAGGAGTGGGTGGCAGTTCTGCCCCAGCACTGAGACAGCTCAGAGGAGTAGCATCTAACCTAGGCAGTTGGGCTAGGGTAGGCTTTCTAGAAAAGACAAACAGAGCTGGGTTCTGAAGGACAAGTGGGAATTGGCCAGCACGGAATCAGTGGAAGGCATTCTAGGTCAAGGAGCTGCATGGCAGAGTCTTGGAGGTGAAGGAGTATGCTGTTGCTTTAACACTGAGCTGTAGCTAGGGCTGTAGCTGGGCTAGAGAAGGCTTTCTAGAAAAGACAATCAGAGCTGGGTTCTGAAGGACAAGTGGGAATTGGCCAGCACGGAATCAGTGGAAGGCATTCTAGGTCAAGGGAGCTGCATGGCAGAGTCTTGGAGGTGAAGGAGTATGCTGTTGCTTTAACACTGAGCTGTAGCTCAGTGTGGCTGGAGAAGAGGGCTGAGAAGAGTGTGCCACAATGACAGGGGTCTGATCTTGAGGGGCCTTGTGTGTATGCTGAGGGGTTTGGATTTTGTCCTGAATTCTGCAGGGTGCCAGGGAGTGAGGGGATTAGATTCCCATCTTAAGCAGTTCTCCGGCAGCGTGGATGATGGGTCACAGGGGCTAAGCCTGGTGGCAGGGAGCTGAGTAAGAAACTGTTGCAGATACGGATGAATAGGCACCCTCCCCCCCACACCGAAGGTCATGACTAGAGAAATATGCAGAACTGATACTGATCCACTGTGCAGGATTTGAGAGTGGGCAGACTGGAAGGGGAAGAGTAAGGTGTCCCATTCTGCTGTGTTCCTTCATGCTAGCCCTTGTGTCTGTCCATTCCTGCTCCCTCTATATAAGCTCACACCTCATCTTGTCACTCACTTGCTTAAAAAAGCCTTCAGAAGCTCTCATTACCTACAGACTCCTTAGCCTGGATTCAGATCCATCCCCAACCTGACAAATTCAGATCCTATTTCCTACTAACCCGCATCTTGAATCCTCCATGCAGCCTAACGTTGGTACTCAGAGTTTTCTAGACCACACCAGTACATTACCCATCCTTGGCCAATGCCATTCTTGCACTTGGATTAGCCATTCCTTCTTTGTCTGACTCCTGCGTATCCTTTAAGACCCAGTAGGCCTCATAAATTTTTTAGAGCTAGATGTTTTCTCATATATACTACTTATATTTTTTCAAAAATATTTTTTATGCCACAGTAATGACTGATACGCCATTAGAACTTTACAGAGTTTTTGGAAAAGTGGCCACTTATAAAATAAACAGCTTCCTTATATTTCAGCAATAACCATCAAAAAATATAATGGAAATCAATCCTATTCATAACACCCAATAGAAATGTCACATAAGAAAAAACTTAAGGGACACCTGGGTGGCTCCGTCGGTTAAGCATCTGCCTTCGGCTCAGGTCATGATCCCGGGGTCCTGGGATCGAGTCCCACATTGGCCTCATTGCTCAGCGGGGAGCCTGCTTCTCCCTCTGCCTGCCGCTCCCCCTGCTTGTGCTCTTTCTGACAAATAAATAAAATCTTTAAAAAACTGGGGTGCCTGGAGGGCTCAGTCGTTAAGTGTCTGCCTCTGGTTCGGGTCATCGTCCCAGTGTCCTGGGATTGAGCCCCGCATCGGGCTCTCTGTTCAACGGGAAGCCTGGTTCTCCCTCTCCCACTCCCCCTGCTTGTATTCCCTCTCTCACTGTCTCTCTCTGTCAAATAAATAAAATCTTAAAAAAAAAAAAAAAAAAAGAACTTAAATACTTAGAATTTATGTGAAGAAAACTTGAAATATAGTGACAGAACATTTGAATAAATGGAGAAACTTATGTGGTGGGATAGAAAGAATCATTATGTAAACATGTAAACTAACTTATAGAAACTTAATTTATAAGTGTAATTCCAGTCAGGTGGGAGAAGGATAATGCATCAAAATGATTCTGTATGACAAAAAACACCGTAAAATTGAAAGGCTGCAAACAGGAATAAAATATTTACAACTCGTGATACTCAAGGAGATTCTTAAAGATGTGGATTCTCACAAACCATTGAGAAGATATTCTGTTTTTTTTTTTTTAGAAGACAAACATTTTAATAAAAAATGGTCAGTAGATATGAAGAAGCACCTTACTGAAGAAGAGATACCAATGAGCAATAACCATATGGAAAAATGTTTAAGCTCCCTAGTAAATGAGAAAATTCAAATTAAAATGAGATAACAGATTTTTGCCCATGAAATTGGCAAAGGGTAGAAACTGGATAGTATCCTTGGCAGGAATACAGGGACCTAGGCACTCTTACTGTGGTGTTGGTGAGCATGCATCTTCCCTTTCTGGAGGGAGATCTGGCGGTATGTCTCAGAAGCCTTGAACAACACACCTACCTTTGATCCAGCAATTCCACTTCAGGGAACATAGCCCAAGAAAATAGCTGGAGACATTCATAAAGATGTATGTGCAAGGATGATGTTATAGCATTATATGTAATTGGGGAAAACTAGAAATAGCCCAAACCAACAGCAGAGAATTGGCTAAAAAAAATTGGAGAATCTTAATAAGTTGGTATACAATGAAGCCATCTCGTATAATATTGCAAAAACATATTGATGACATGGGAAATATTGGGGCAATACATATTGAGAAAAGGCTTTAAAGCATTAGGTAGATTATGATCCCTTTTTTGATACATCTCTGTTTCCACACCATGTCTGTATCAAATTGATTAGAGTTTGTCCAGTCTGGGATTGGTTGAAGTCTTAATTGTACCCTAACTTTTAAGCCCCCAAACTTCCAGATGACTTCACATTTTCTGATTCTCACAGTCCTTTTAGACCTCTTTATTCTCAAGACAAGGAATTTTGGATCCATTTTGGATACTTAGAAACAATCTGAAGTTCTGCAAAATTTTATATGATTGATTGTGTCAGAGTTTACAGGGTTCATTTGCATCAAAATTATACCCTGATCTTTATTCCATACTTGACAAGATTTCCTTAAAGGTTATTCTGCTTGTCTTAATATTTTCCCTGTTAGAGGAAAAAGTTTCAAATGCCAAACATTTTAACACTGAATAAACTAAATAAAAATGGATTCAGTTCTAACATCACGCTTTCATAAATATCTTCCATGTAGCTGTTAACATAGTACAGTGCAGACATCTGACAGTTTTAAAATAATCTAGCTAAGATTGTGTGCATATGCCTTAAAATTTTGTACTATTATTTTTTAATTTTCAGGGGCGATAGTCACTTTTGTAGTCAAAAAGCAGCCATCTACTCATTGAATTTTACAGCAAATCCACCTCAAAGGGTATTTAAACTTGTCGACCGGATTAATCCATCTATATTCTGCATTCATATTACAAACTGTAAGTATTTGATGGTGATATGCTTTGAGAAGCACTGGAAAGTTTTTCTTTAAAAAGTTCTTTTATAGAGGGGCACCTGGGTGGCCCAGTCGGTTAAGTGTCTGCCTTCGGCTCGGGTCATAATCCTGGTGTCCTGGGATCAAGTCCTGCGTCAGGCTCTCTGCTCAGCGGGGAGTCTGCTTCTCCCTCTCCCTGCCACTCTGCCTACTTGTGCTCTCTATCTCTCTGTCAAATAAATAAAATGTTTTAAAAAATAAAATAAAAAGTTCTTTTATGGAAAAGTGTCTCATTCGGTTAGATTTAAAGCAATAATTTTATGCTTTGGCTAAGGTGCATCTTCTGAGGCCGTTTCACAGGCCACTGCAAGTAACTTTATAGACCTGTGGGCATGAGCATTTTCTTTAAAACTAATGTGCTTATGTAGTTGTTTTTGAAATCTCATACTTTTATTTCACTGGTGTTTATAATATGTAGACACACATAGGAATCTAGGTTTATTTAAGTTACATGTGTGTGTGTTTATAATTTTTTAAAAATTTCCTCATGGTTTAATGGTTGAAAATCAGGTTGAGCTTTGGTTTCAATTTCCTTTTTTCTCTTTTATTTTTACTAAGAATATTTGCATAAAAACAAGATCTTTATTTTTATCTGAGCATTTAGCTCAAATAGGTGTCTAGATCCAAAGTACATGTAAGTTTAAAATGTTAAGATATCTAAGATCAGAGATACATTTATGGTTTTATCAATTAAGCTTCATCATCTTTTCAGAACATCTTTATATTTTGAATTTGTTCCCTTGCAGTTGAAAACTAGGCAAATGCTCTTTGATTTTTTTTTTGGTGGGGGCTAGAGAAAGGAAGGGGGAGGGGCAGAAGAAGAGAGAGAGAATCTTAAGCAGGTTCCACACCCAGGATGGACATGGAGCTCAGTCTCACAATCCTGAGATCATGACCTGAGATGAAATCAAGAGTGGGACACTTAACCAACTGAGCCACCCAGAGCCACCCAGTGCTCTGGGATTTGTAATCTAAAGTAAGGACTGGTTAGTCATTGTCAAGTTCTATGATGTAACACCAGGCAAGTGAACATACCAGCTCATTTCCTCCTCCTCCCAAGATGTTCTATACACAGCCACATTATTCTCCTGGGCTTTGGTTTGGAGGTGGCTGTGTGAGGGTAGAAAAAAATCATTTGTCCCTGTGGCCGTCTTCAGAGAGCTTTGCCTTAGAGGTTAATGCAGCAGGCTTCTCAGTCCATGGGCTGGAGAAAGATTGGTTATTATTGGCTTCTATTGTGCTGTTTGCCTGCAGGCTTAGAAACCATTACTTCCACACTGTTAGAACAGCAGGCCAAGTCTGGGGATCCTGTTTATTTAATAAGACTCAAGAAATTTTGGGTAAAGTAAATACGGAAAGAGACACTATTTTTTTCACATCAGCCTTAATGCTACTAAAAACTGTTTCCAAATATTATGTTATATAAATAATGTACATACTTACGCTGATTTAAAATACTTTTTCTAAAAAACAGATAAACCCGCGTTATTCTTTATTAATCCAGAAGTGCCTGATGAAAATAATTTTGATAAATTGATGAAAACATCTGATGGTTTTTCCTTGAAAGAATCAGAGATTTCTTTCGAAACCCAGTCGGACATTCCAGCTACTGCTAAATATAAGGTGAGCCAAGAACTTGATTAAGTCCACCATCTTGTTGCAAATATCCCATCCTTGTAAGTTAATTTTTCAGTATCAAAACTGGCTTCCCGGAGACCGAATTCACATTATAGAGGGAAAAACTTAATGTTCATGCCTAGAAATCAAAGATCACAAAAATTAAAAATGAGTAGTTGAGTTGTAACATAGGGTTGAAAGTTGTTTATTCATTAGTAAGCCTGCTTTTGTCTCTGCAGGATTCTTTGTGCTTCTCTACCTCAAAAGACGCAGCAGAGTGCTTGAGTCATGCTGCTGGGGACACGGAGTGGATTGGTTGGGTGCCTGGTCCTCTTCTTAAAGCTACATTTAGTTTTACAGGCTTTAGGAAGATGTGTGCTATTTTATATCTATTCATTAGTAAACCTTTAAATGCAATATACATTAACTTTGAATAAGCTTCCGATTTTTTGGAAGCATCTTTGAAGAGAAGTAAAAAAGCACCATGTGCTAATTCTAAAAGTTAAAAGTATAGAGGTACATAGGATGGAAAGGCCCCTGTGTCCACTAAAATGCACGTTGCAAATCACTGTTAACAGATTGGTTTATATTCTTGATTTTTAAATGCATCTATAAAAATATACATATAGTATTATACAGAAGTAGGGTTTATAGTTATCTACATTGTTCTGTAAGCTTTCTTTTTTACTCAGTGATAAATCTTAGGCATCTTCCCATATCAATATAAAAGTTACCATTTCTTGCAGAGCTTTCCAGACATTACTTCATAGGACCCTGAAAAGGATACATCATTGTCCTCATTTAACTGATAAGAAAAACTTCTGTATAGGAAAGTAACTTGTCAGAGCTACTGTTGGAGCTACATTTTACTGATACAAAGTATCCCTTCTATGTATGTATTGGCTTTTATTATTGAGCCATTCCCCACTATTAACAGACATTTGTTTCCAGTTTTTCTATTATAAATAATCCACAATGAACATTCTTATAGATACTTATATCTTTGATTTAATTCTTAGATACCTTCCTATAACTGGATTAACTTAGTCAAAGTGAAGGGAAATTTAAAATATCCGTATCAGATTGCCCTCTAGAAAGATTACAGGAGTTTAAACTCCCAGGTCCAGTGAAGGAGAGGGTTTGTTTCCCCATATCCTTGTTGGCACCAAAGCATTTGGATACTTTTAAATTCAAGAAAATTGGTTGTATGCATAATAGGTGTAAATTTTGTTTTGAATATTGGGGAAAGGTTTCATGTAGTTTGATTTTGGGAAGGAAGGCCCATCAGTGTTATGATTTTAACGTGTGCTATATCTGTTATTTAAATAACTATTGCTGGGGTACCTGGGTGGCTCAGATGGTTAAGCGTCTGCCTTTGGCTTGGGTCATGATCCCAGGGTCCTGGGATCAAGCCCCACATTGGGTTCCTGGCTCAGCGGGGAGCCTGCTTCTCCCTCTCCCTCTGCCTCTCTGTATCTCTGTGTCTCAAATGAATAAATAAAATCTTTAAAAAAAATAAAACAAATAATTATTGCTAGTAAAAAATAATTACCTTGGGGTACCTGGGTGGCTCAGTCAGTTGGGCATCTGCCTTCTGCTCAGGTCATGATCCTAGGGTCCTGGTATCGAGCCCCATGTCAGGCTCCCTGCTCAGTGGGGAGCGTGCTTCTCCCTCTCCCTCTGCAGCTCCCCCTGCTTGTGCTCTCCCTCTCTGTCAAATAAATAAATAAAAATCTTAAAAAAAAAAAAAATTACCTCTCTCACCCCTGTTCCCAGCCACCCAGTTCCTGTCTGCAGAGGCAGACACTATGTCAGCTTCTTACATACCTTTCCAGAGGAATTCTGTAATAAAGCCTGCAGGGGTGCCTGGGTGGCTCGGTCGGTTAAGCATCCAACTCTTGATTTCAGCTCAGGTCATGAGATCAAGCCCTATGTAGGGTTCTGTACTCTGCCTGGGAGTCTGCTTGAGATTCCGTCTCCCTCTGCCCCTCTCCCTGCTTGCGCACATGTGCTTGCACGCGCATGCTTGCACACACGCGCACGTGCGCGTGCTCTAAACGAATCTTTTAAAAAGCCTGCAAATAAAACGACATGCACATACACAGAAACACATACCCTTGAAAGAAAGGGGTGGGGCAGCTGGGTGTACCCTCCATGCAGGCAAAGACTGCATCTGTTTTTTGCTCATCACTGTGTTCCTGATGCTTGTAATGCTGCCTAGCACATGGTAGGTGTCCGGTATGTGTTGCATGAATGCTTTCTTAGCACCATAATAGCTATTGGCTGGTCTCTTTGCAGTATGGGGCTCGTCTGCAGACTTCAGATTCATTTTTGAGATTTCCCTCTCCCCTTATGTCATCTCTGTGCACTGATGATAACCCTGCAGGTAAGACTGTGGGTATTTTTCTTTCTGTCTATAAACAGTTTGCTCTTAGTTTGAATTCATAGTAGTCACAATTAAACAGGCTTCATAACTGGAAACAGTCTTAGAGTTGGAAGAGGCCTCAAAGGTTATGCAGGTCAGATTCCCAACCACATCTTTTCTGCCATATGCAGTCACTGCTTGAACACTTGTAGTGATGGGGAACTCACTACCTGAAACCAGCCTGCTCAGTTGTTTAACCCTTCTAGTTTTTGGGAAGTTCTTTCTCCACTGGAGCTAACGTGTGTCAATAACTAATATTTATTAAGCAGTTACCGTGTGCTTGCATATGTTTTTCCATTTGATTGTCACAATAATCCCTGAAGGTCGGGTTATTCATTTTTTAGATGTGGAAACTGAGAAACATTCAGTCTTTTGCTCAGGCTCACTCAGGCAGTGGTGGAGCAGGGATGCAGCCTACATAGCCACCTCCCGCGGGACCTGCTTCTTTCAGGAGCATCACGGAGTCTGTGGAGTAACTGTCTTGGCAGTGGGAGGCAGCAGGCGTGGTTCTCCGATCCTTAAGGCGGCACCACTGTGAAGAAGCTAGCTAAGGAGTGTATGGTGGCATGTGGCCTAATGAAACATCATTTCATATAGGAACGAAAGGGGATTCTGTTGAAAAGACACTCAACCCTGCTCACAATAGGAACAGTGTAAATTAAAACCAAACTGAGATACCATTTCCATGTAATGGATTGGCAAAGCTTAGGAACTTGAAGGCTCTGGAGAAGTAGGCCCTCATCTACATTGTTGGTGGGACTACAAATTGGTACAACCTCTGTGAAGAGCAGTTTAGCAATATGTGTCAAAATTGCGAATGAATATGCCCTTTGACCCACTGTTCTGCTTCTAGGAGTTGGTCCTACAGAATCTGGCCCGCTTGCAAAATAGATTGCAGCATTGTTTGTGATGGCAAAGCCAGAGACAACTTAAGTGTCTGTTAATGTGAACTTGGTGAATAAATTATGACATATCCATAATAGAATACTAATTATCCCTAAAAAAAAAAAAAGCAGGAGGAGGAAGCTCATCATGTTCTAAGATAGCCTGAACTCCAAGATACATTGTTCAGTAAAAAAAGCGAAGGGTAGAATATATAGCATGTGTTTGTTTCTAAAAGGGGAAAGAAATACTAAAAATATATGTACACACATGCTTTTATTTGCATAGAATATTTCAGAAAGATACACAACAAACTTGATGCTGGTTGTCTCTGGGGACAAGTAGTTGTCTCTGGTGGTGTCTGGGGATGGGTGAGGGCGGACAAGCACTGGAAGAACACTCTCTCAGTATCTTTTTGTGCCTTTTGAATTTTGAATTGAGTGTATTACATATTAAAAATATAATTTTAAGTCCTTTTTTAAGCATGTTGTATATCTGTGTTATAATTTATTTTATGGTTTTACTTAGACTACAGTTTTTTAGTTACCATTGGACAGTTAAAAAATTTCTTCTTTCTCATTTTTTTTTCCCTTGGGAATGTTATGATTTCCAGCATTTCTGGTGAACCAAGCTGTTAAGTGCACCAGAAGGATAAATTTGGAACAGTGTGAAGAAATTGAAGCCCTGGGCATGGCTTATTACAGCAGCCCTAAAATTTTGAGGGTAAGAATTATTTTGAAGTGAATCTTCTTCGTCAGATTTGTTTTCTGTTCTTTGCACCCTTTTGAAGTATGACAAGTATAGAATAATTTCAGTACATGATTGACAACTCAAGTTTAAATTTTTCTTCTCTAGTTCTTTGGTATAGTGATACCAAAGATAGAGAAATAATCACTTAAAATAATTATTTTTATATAGTTCATATTTTGCTTTTATTCATTGTTTTGTTTTTTGGCTTTCATTTTGATGGTAACCAATCATGTCTTTCTCCTGAATTAAAAAAAGACTTGATTTAATAACTGAAAACTTTAGAAATTATAAAAACATCTTAATGTCTGTGACAGAAATGACCACATTAGCACCAAAAAGATACCTCTTTGAGAGACAGGCCAGAAAAGAATAGAAAATCCACTTTCTGGTTGGCAGATGAAGTCAGCAGGAAGGAACAGGCAGGAAATAGGATTGCTGGTGAAGGAGAAGAGGTCACGGGAGGTCACGGCAGTATAGAGGCCCCTTCTTTCTGGTTGTAGTGACTGAAGCCTGAAGAGATAAGAGAGGCCACTGGCCCATTTGGGGGATGGCATGGAGGGTTGCAAGAGGTGAAGATTTTTTTCAATGATGAAAAAACCATATGATTACTATGAACCCTCACCTCCTGATTTCCTTATTTTGGGGGGAACAGGAAAGGAGTAGGGTGGTCCATGACTTCGTTATTCATCCAGACTGTGGTCTTCAGAATCAGGTTGAAGATTTTCCTCTCCCTTCCCATTCCCTCTTCCTCTCTTCTTATAAATCAGCCACGTAGGCCTGTGAATTCTTCCAGTTAGCTGACTTCTCATGGTGGTCCTAGAAATAGCCTGTCAGGTGTGCAGCCACAGCTCTCTCAGCACTGGCCTCTCCAAGCATGTCTACTCAGCCCCCTCCCTGAAGCTCCCTTTGGCCCTGTAGGGTGTCCTGTGATGAGAAGTAAGGCTGGGGGAGTTGGGGATGGGAAGTGAAGGGAAGTCGAGGCCTTCAGAAGGAGTGCTCGGCTGTGTTGGGGAGGCAGGAGCTCACCATTGAGGGGTTTGGGCTAGAGGCAGGAAGAGCAGTTAGGAGGCATTGGAAATTGCCCAGGCCAGCGATGGTGGCCTTCCAGTGTGGACAGGCGCAGGAGGGTGACCGGAAGGCTAGGAGCCACGTCTTCCCCACAGCGCTGTGTCACTGGTGACCATGTGGAAAGTACTGAACGATTACACTAAAGCAGGGAGACTTTCTGAGACCAGCTCCATGGGGCTGCTCTATTCTATTAAGCTTCCAATCTGAAGGAAATGAATATAGGAAAGGAAATAATTATGACATAGATACGAAAATATGTAGGCGGCAAGTCTTAAGGAAATTCTGTTTTCCTCTTTATGAAGTCTTTAATAAGATAGTTATGCCCTTTAACCCATGGTCTGAAAAAGCAATACAAATGCTTTTCATTGTACTTAACAAAATTTGTTGTTTCTTTTTGTTTAGGTGCCTGGTTTAAGAACAAAGGCAGAGGTAAGAGTATTTCTTGATGGAAAGTAAAATAGTTTATAATGCACAGTCTTATTTCTAAACCTTTATTTCTAAATCCTAATACACTTAGGATTACAAGGATACCTTACTGCCAGTCACAACATTTGCCAAAAGGCAAACACCAGTGAAATAGGGAAGCTCATAGTAGCAGCCGACCCTTTTGTAATTACCATATAGACAATGGAATACGACTCAGCCGTCAGAAAGGATGAATACCCAACTTTTACATCAACGTGGGACTGGAGGAGATTATGCTGAGTGAAATAAGGCAGAGAAAGTCAATTATCATATGGTTTCACTTATTTATGGAACATAAGGAATAGCATGGAGGACATTAGGAGAAGGGAAAAATGAAGGGGGGGAAATCGGAGGGAGAGATGAACCATGAGAGACTATGGACTCCGAGAAACAAACAGGTTTTTAGAGGGGAGGGGGGGTGGGGGGATGGGTTAGCCAGGTGATGGGTATTAAGGAGGGCACGTACTGCATGGAGCACTGGGTGTTATACGACAACAATGGATTGTGGATCACCACATCAAAAACTAATGATGTATGGTGAATAACATAACATAATAAAAAAGGGGGGGGGCAGATTTTCAAATTCCCTGTTTTTGAAGTTAGCACTTTTTTTCATATTTAAATGGCATAGCTGTGTTGAGAGACAATGGGTGTGATTGGCTTCTGTGCTTTCCCCAGCATCCCTTGAGATCTTCTTGGTCTCTTGTCCAGAGAGCTGGCTAGCTCCCAAGGCGCTATATGTCCCGGGTAGAAGATAGAAACATCTTGCCCTGTGAATGTCCACACTTGTGTAGGGGCGGGACACTCCAGTGTAGCTTCAGGGGTTGAGGTATGGGTGTAGGTTCTGTTGGCCCCGGCTCAGAGGTTCTGTCAGGCTGTGAGCAGGTGGCCAAGGTCTTTCTGTGGCTATGTCAGAGCAAAGGAACATGCATCTACTACCCCTTATTTTTGGGTCTGTGAATACAGTCTCCAAGGAGACCCAAGGCATTGACCTTGTCACAGTCTCCCAGAGCTTATGGGATTGGCTGGCCTTGGTTCAAAATTCAGCTTTGCCATTATTTTCTCCTGTGACATGTGCCTCACTCCCCCAGTTGTCCAGCAGATGGTGAGTGTCGCCCCAGAGGCCTATGTGAAGTTCCAGTGGGAGGATGCACATGACGTGCTCTGTGCAGCATCTGGCGCCCTGGCAGCACTGGGGACAGTGCTCATGCCACCTACTGTACCTGATTTCATTAAGTCTCGAGACACAAACACGTATTTGAGGTAGATACTTGTAAGGAAATGGTCATGTGAATTTGGGCTTCACACTTCCGTGTGTGGGTCTGGATTTCCTCATCTGTGAAGGTGTTTTCAAACTTGTTTTAGATGCAGAGTTTTTTCAAATGTGATCTCAAGCAGAACTCTCCCTAATGTGTAACTTGGATTGAATCCAAAGCCCGTGGTTGAAGCAGGGGTGGGGCCCAGAGCCCTCCACCTGCCCGGCCTTCCCATCTCTCTCCTTTTTGGTTCTTCTGAGGAATCCTATGGCTCCCAGGAACCCAGTTTGAAAACCATATAATAGACTAGCTCTCGAATACCTCCAGCCTCTAAAAAGTGCTTTGATTCTACCATTCAAACTTGAACTGTCTGTGGGGGCGGCAATCCTCTCTGCCTTGTGCAGGCTAGATCTGCAGCGCTAGGGTAGGGCCTCGTAAGTGCTGGGCACTCAGTGGGTTACGTGTTAATTGAGTGAATGCCTAGGAGATTGGTGCAGTCAAGCAGGGAAGGCCTGTTGTGAGGATGATGGGATGTTATGGAAAGGCACGTCCTGTGTGCTGTCACTGTTCTAAGTCCCGTGCGTGTTCGAGGTCCATTGTCTCAGCAAGCCTAGGAGGTAGGTACTGTCGTTGTCACTCCCTGGCACATGAGTTCCAGAGCAGTGAATTAGCTTGCTCAAGGCCACCCAGAGAGGCAGTGGCAGAGCTGGGACAGGAATCCCCAAAGACCTTACTCTCAACCATGACACTGGACGAGCTGTACTGTGTGCCAGACCCCGAGTTCCAAGCTTCACACACCGTTTTTCTTCGCACCCTGTGGCCATGCAGTCCGGAAGTGACGGACTGGGGCTTATAACTCAGCTCTGTGTGATACCAGAGCTTGTGCTCTAACAGACAACATGTCAGCTCATATCAGAGATTTGCTTAAAGTATTTTTAAAAAGTAACTTCCAAGATTTGTTAGATGATGAATATCAAAATTGGATCCAGGTTCCTCATTCCCCAGCCTGTTAGGATTGCCTGGAATCAGTTCATATCTAGTGAACCGTCCGTGAAAGAAATTATGGCTCTATAATTTCATTGTTAAGTATCCTTTAGTTCTTTGCCACAGGGAAGTGTGGAAATGGGATATGGCTGAATAGGACATTCAGGAAACCAGAGTAGCCCTACCATTTTCATTCTGTGACCATTCCAGTGGCTGTTGATAGACCAGAGCAGCTCTTTCCACCTACTCTCATCCATCCGTCTTTCCAAAGCTTGTCTAACCTGGACCCTTTGGTTTCTGCCAAGCACACCCCCACACCACCAGAACGGCTCTGTCAGAGGCTGGTCTGGAAGGGTGTGCATTTTCCTGGAACCCTGCATTATTGCTGAACCAGGGATCAGTAGGTTCAGATAAAGGAATCCAGGGTTGTCTTTTGAGGATGTAAACTGAAGAGCTCATGAGCTCATAGCAAGGGGCTCCCTCTGTAGCTCTTACACCGACCCATAGGGCTTGTTACACGGAGGGTGTTGTGGCGATTGGTGTTGCCCTCCTGCCACTCTTGTCACATGACGGCTTGTCTTTGCCTCCGAACCATGGCACGTTCTTAGAGGTTTGACTTACACGGACAGTTACAGGTGTTCTTGGTCATGGGAGCATGGTACACAATTGAGGGCAAAGTTCAATATAAACAACTAGATACAAGGTAGATTCCTTCCTAAACAGTGGTTTCTAAGTGCTGACATTTAGTGCAAATGTCAGATTTGTTGCACAGTATGAAGAGGCCAGTTCCCTAGAGGGTTGAGCCATTTAAAGGATTGCCTGCTGCTTGTCACTCTGCTGCCAGTGGCCATAAATGAAAGATGTCCTTTAATAGCATTGGGTTATTCAGGACTTCTTGCTTCTGCTTGAAAGACTTGTCTCTTGTTTTCTCTTCCCATGATCCCACCACCTAGTGTGTATGTGTAAGGGTGTGTGTAGAAGTTGTTCATGAATTGGGTCAAGCCTATGTTTAGGGAGGGGGTGGGGGGTGGGGGGCGTGTCCTGGGACTGTGGAGCACGGGCACACGTGTGTACAGAGCGAGTGCATGATCGGTAGGAGCTGTACTGTGGAGGGGAGCATATACACATTGGGTGATATGATGGAGTTGTGAGTGTGTGTGAATGTTTGAGATCTATTTCACATACCATAAAACTCACCATTTTTAAGTGTACAATTCAGTGGTTTGTAGTGTGTTCACAGGGTTGTGCAACCATCACCACTACCTAATTCCAGAACATTTTCATCACCCCAGAAGGAACGCCTGTGCTCATTAGCAGGCACTCCTCATTCTTCTCCAAACCTCTCAGCCTCTGGGCAACCACTAATCTACTTTCTGTCTCTGTGGATTTGCCTGTTGTAGACATTTCCTATAAATGGGATCATGTAATATGTGACCTTTTGCGTCTGGCTTCTTTCACTTAGCATGTTTTCAAGATTCATCTATGTGGTGGAATGAATCCGCCCTTTATTCCATTTTATGGATGAATAATATTCTTTTATATGGATATACTATATTTTTCTATTTATCAGTTGATGGACATTTGCATTGTTTTCAGTTTCTGGCTGGTTATGAATGCTGCTGTGAACATTTGTGTACAAGTTTTTGTGTGAACGTAGGTTTTCAGAGAGAACCACTTTTAAAGTTGTGGTTATATTCTCTGGTATTTCCTATGTAAAGGCATGTACGTATAAATATCTATCTGTATTTTTGCGAGTATACAATTAGAGTGTGCATATTGTTCTTTTGCGTGTTTTTCCCTGCTTGGCAGTGTATTTGCAGAGGTTTGTCTTCAGGTTCTCGTCACTGTGACTCATTCATCTCTGTTGGACAGTGTCTTAGTGAGCCAGCTCTCCTTTGCTTTGCAGATCCCTATCACTGTTCAGTCCATCCTCATTCAGTCTCTGAATAAAACGCTAACCCGACTGGAGGACTCGGTTGTATTGAACCAGACTCTTGTTGAGGCTGGGGATGTTAAAATCTGCACTAATGTCGTTCTTGAGGTACGTACCCGATTTGGCTTGGAAAGCTGAGTCTGTGTGTGGCAGACTCAAGCTGTGTGGTCCTGAGGGGGTAATTGGACGCCCTCCAAAGGGGGTTCTGGCCTGTCCTGAGGTATTGGTGTTCTTGGCTTGCCCTCCTGCTTGCCGGTACACCGTGTCATTAGAGGATGCTTCCTTAAGTAAGGTCTCTGAAATAATTGCGTGTGATTTTTCTCCACAAACCTAGAGACTTTCACGAATATGTCAGAATTTGTTTTTTGTTGCTTTTAACACATTTCCTCTGCAGAGATTGATCACACTCTGTTCAAACCTGCTGATTTGGAATTCATATAACTAGGTACAGAGAGGCTCAAATGACCCTGTCAGCTGGGGGTGGTGCTGAGGCGTTACCTCCTGAAATCTGATGGGACAGGAGAGAAAAGCTTCTGTGAGTGGAGAACTGGGAGAGGATTTGCCTCCTCTGTGTATTTGGAGTTAACTGATGTAGCAGGCACAGGTGTGTGTGGAGTGCCATTGTGTTTTCAGGTCAAGTACAGCCTCACATACACAGAGGCAGGGGAGATAGCGCAGGCTGGCCTTGCTCTCCTTCTGGGGACAGTGAGCGGGCCAGTGGTTCCACTCGAGCAGAAGTTTGAAATTCATTTCATTCAGGTAAGTTTGATCACTTTTGTACACGTATTTATTTATTTATTTTTTATAGGATGATAATGTTTTTTTAAAGAATCTTTTATTTATTTATTTGAGAGAGAGAGAATGAGAGACAGATAGCAAGAGAGGGAAGAGGGTCAGAGGGAGAAGCAGACCCCCCGCTGAGCAGGGAGCCCGATGCGGGACTTGATCCTCGGACTCCAGGATCATGACCTGAGCCGAAGGCAGTCGCTTAACCAACTGAGCCACCCAGGCACCCTGTACATGTATTTAATTGCAAGTAAAAAAGTCATAACTTCTTAGTGAAAAAAAATCTGTTTAGAAGTCTTAACTATCTATCCACTTTTACTAAACAAAGGGCTTAATGTAGCATGTGTTTGTAACAAAATCAGGCAGAGTCCTTGTATCTTTTTCCTTTCCGGGAATAAGATTCTCTTCCATGCGAGCTCATTCTTTTATAGAATGATGTACTCCTACACTCAGCAGATATATTTATAGTTCTGAGTAGGGGGAGAAATTCTTTCATTTGTTGGAAATCCCAGATTTTACTGTGAAAAGTGTTTTATTTTCACCCTATTTCCTTATTAAAATGAGAATTATTGGGGGGCATTTCTGCATTGTCTTTCAGCAAAATACAAAGCCAATTCCTCTCAGTGGAAACCCTGGTTATGTTGTGGGGCTCCCATTAGCTGCTGGATTTCAGCCTCAGAAGGGATATCCTTTTTGGTTCTGTGGAGAAGGCTGATTTCCCTGTCCACGTGTGTGTTTATTGCTGAGGGTCCTGTCGGCTGGAGGTTCGTTTGGGCCAGGACTTCTCTGGGTGGCTCTGGTGGGTGGTGGGTCTGTTGCACAGCAGATGGGGCCGTGTGGACACTGGTGGTTGGGAGTGGAACAGCAGGGCCCAGGAAAATGTGGTTTATAATGAAAATCTTAGGACAGAAAAGTTGACAGACTTTTAGATATATTTAATTACATACTCAAGCAGAAACTCTTAAATTTAGTAATTTCGGAAAATTTGGAATGATTTTGGAGGAACAGTTTCTGAGGATTTTTCTTCTGAGAATCTACTACTCAAGGAAAATAGAACTATTTTCTGCTCTGTCCTGGGAAATGACTGTCAAGATCGCAGAGGCCCAGAGAAGGTTATTTGGGTTTCACTCCTGTCTCATGTCACACATTTGTCACCGTGTCCTGAGAATCAGACTGCCTTAGTACTGGGTGATTGTCCCTTAACTTTCTGTGAATATCTGGGATTATTCAGACCATGAACAGATTTGGACAACTTACTATTCTTCGTAGCACAGCCGAGCAAGACTGCTTAGCAGTCGAGGGGATCCGGACCCCAGTATTATTTGGTTATGATATGCAGTCTGGCTGTAAACTAAGGTAAGAGAGGAACTTGCTGCTTTTGGAACTTGTCTGTGTTGATCAGAAAACAAAGCATTCCTACTCTTCCCCATTTTAATCAAACCTCTGCATCAGCCAGCGAGTGCCTGTGAAAGCCACAGTGTGACCTGTTAGCACCAGTGACAGTACTTCTGTTTTCTAATTTTAATTTTCACAGCCATAAACCATTTGTCATGATTCAAAGGAAAACTGTTGCAATCATTTTTCTTATCAGACATGGCAGGGTAAAAATCCCAAGGCTTTTGTAGGTCTTAAGGTTGCACAGCACTTGAGTTCACAGTAAAAATACTTTGCTTGGAAGTTCTTCCTGTATTTCTGAATTTTAATATACGTAGTGCAACAAACCCAGTGAGAAGAAGCCTGAATGTGATCTCTGTTTTTATCTTTTTAGCGTATACAGAGTGTAAGGTATCAAACAGCCCTGCATGGCTTATTATAAAGACACCAGCTCTTACCTTCATTTCCCCCACTCTGCAGGTGATCACTTGCAACTCCTGTAGCTGAGTTTTTGGAAATTTACTCCCAAATCTGTCAATAACTTATATGTAATACTATTTCCTCACACTTTGGTTTTATGAATTGTTGAGTTCCCACTATGGAAGGCAAGGATTTGGCTCTTTCCCCTTTCTTCCCCTACCCCTGCCATCCAGTCACTTCCCATCCCTACTTGCCCCCAGGGTAATTACATCATTGTTTTGGTTAGACCAACAGATACTATTTATATTATTGGTTCTGATCCCTTTAGAAATAGTTTTTTTTTTTTTTTTTAAGGAATTGACAGAGAGATAGGCAGAGTGGCAGGCAGAGGGAGAGGGAGAAGCAGGCTCTCCGCCGAGCAGGGAGCCCGATGCGGGGCTCGATCCCAGGACCCCGGGATCATGACCTGAGCCGAAGGCAGTCGCTTAACCAACTGAGCCACCCAGGTGCCCCGGTTCTGATCCCTTTAGACCAGAATTTCTCAGAGGGTGTTCCTTGGATTACATTTCTGAAGAGTCAGTAGGGCTATGTCTGTGGTCCAATTAATATGTTTGAGGAACACCAAATTAAAGTCAAAACACAATTCCTTACTGTAAGGACTTCTCAGAGCCCTTATATGCCAATGTGCTGCAGGAGGGACATGGGCATGCAATATTTTCCAAACTTTTGGCCACAGAACTCTTCTTGTACAGAGCCTCTCAGTGGAACACACTTTGGGAAACATTGTTTTGTTTCTCCCTGGCCAACCAGGATTTCTCAGAGTTAGAGACACTTTGGCTTCTGTCAAATAATCCGTTTGGAGAGAGAGAAAATAAAGCAACCGGAGAGGGCATGCCTGTTGTTGAGGCCTGGAGAACTGTTGGAATGAACAACAGCCCCATTCCATCGACCTCTTTTTCCTTCCCAAAAGACTGCCCAAAGCCATCACGTGCCAGCTCGCAGTGCAGAAAGTGAAAAACCTCCTGAAGGGCCAAGGCTTCCCAGATTATGTGGCCCCTTTTGGAAATTCGCAGGCCCAGGATGTGTTGGACTGGGTACCGGTCCGCTTCATCACCCAGGCATCCCACATGAAGGTAAGGGGGAAGCTGAAGGCCACGCGCCAGTGGTCTCTCCTCCTCCCACTGCTCCTCCGCCCTGTGGGGAGGTAGAGGCAGCTGGGGGAGCCACCTGTTGAGGAGGCAGATGGCTCTGGGTAGGAACTCAGGCTTTGTTATCAGATGGGCCTGGGTCTTGAAAACTGATTTTGTGCTTTGTTAGCCCTCTTGCCTTTGAGGGTTTGAGCCTGTTTCCTCAGCTGTGAAATAGGAAGTGAGAGCTATATAGTATCAGCCTCGTGGGGTGGTTGAGTTAAACGAGGTAACATTTGTGGGGCCTAGTGGTTGCTCCAAACATGGGGACTCACCACCATCCTGACCATTCCCACGATCATTGTTGGTGTGACATGAGGCATTATGATAGGACAGAGTGTGAGGACTGTGGCAGGAAGTGAGACTCCTCCAGTCCACATCACTGCCCCAGCCATTGTTCCCTGGTCTATAAAGGCAGCCCGCATGTGAGAGCTTTCAATTCCAAAGTTCCCCAAAGAGTTTAATGGAAGTTGACATCCTACAAAGAGGTTCCTGATCACACGTGATTCCTCTGCCCACCTTTTTCTTTTGTCTCAGCCATCAGAGTGTGGGCTGGTCCCCATCACTGGAGGCGTGCTCTCCGTCTTATCCTTTAATTGCCCAGCTTTTGTGTCACAGCTTCTCAGGCCTCTCATCTGCTTAGCGTATTTATAGCAGGGGGACAATGGGGGTGAGCACCCACTCTCCAGCTCTGATCCGGCCCTCCTCCAGAGTCCCCAGCAGAGACCCAGGATTACTCGGTCCCTGCTGTTCAGCTGCTCAGTCTTGGCTCAACGCTGCCACTTCAGTGAACCAGGCATATTGCTTCTGGCTTCTCAGAGATAGGTTAAGACATTGTTACTACCCCCTCAGAAGGGAAGACAGGTTGGGAGGAGAGGCAGTGCAGACATTTGCATTTTCGGGGTCTGTGCTGTGCAGGGAGCTCAGAGGGCCCGGGGCGGGTTTTGTACCTACCTTGCGGGAAACTCCGGTGGCAGCAGACCCGCGCGCAGGTGCCAGGCCCAGCTTCCCTGGGCTGTGTGTTGCCTCTTCTCCAGCCTGCAGCCTTCCTAAGAGGCAGTTCCCAGCTAAGGAGTTCCACCAGTGCCTTTTTGGCAGGCACCAAATTTAGCAGGCTTGCTTGCTAGCTTTTCATGCCCTGAAGAGGCATATTTTAAAAAGCTTGTTATTGTGGGGAAATTTCAAACAGACACAGAAGTAGAGTATTACAGTGGAATTCCTTCTACCTGTTGGGCTGCTTCAGCGGTCCTCGCATTTGCCCACAAACACGAAGTAAAGGCAGGGAAAGGGTTGGGAAGGTCCCCTCGGCCACTCTTCCCTGGGGCAGAGGCCTCAGGCCCGCTCCCAGGTCTCAGCTCGGCTCACACGGAGAGTTAGTATCTTACAGACTCGGCTGTATACCGCTGTGTAACAGCTTAATCGCCAAGTGATGAAATCAGAGAAAGCATTTACATTTCCTCTGGGTGCATTTTAACGTGATATGCAATTAGGTTTAATTTCTATGACTCCTGCCATTCCCCCCCCCCAACCCCCCACCCCATGCCAGCTTCTCCCCTCAAGAATCTCTGAGCTGGATGAAGTTGGGGCCCAAGGTTCCATGGTTTGGTGTTGGGATCGCCACAACTTCCAAGTAATGCTGGCCTCTAGAAACAGGAGAGGTTGGAAAAATGCTGCTTTCGGTGTTAAAATATTTCAGGAGCATCGAGTACTTTAAAATACGTGCTCTCAGCTGTTTTTATCTGAACTTCTAGAGTCTCTTCACTGTCTTGTTCAGAACATTTTGTATTATGTGAAACATTTTATAATTAAAACTTTGAACTGCAGATTAAGTTTGACATGAGGTTGTGTAATGTTCAGATTGATTAATGGCATTTTGTTGTGCAGGATTCTTGCCAGCTCCCGATGGCTTTGGTGATAGAAGTGAAGTGGACTAAATACGGGTCCTTACTGAATCCACAGGCTAAAATAGTAAATGTGACTGCAAGTCTCCTCTCATCCTCCTTTCCTGAGGTAGGTCTAACTTGGGTTTCAAGGTGTAGGTTAAGACATAAGTCCAGACAAAACTCAAGTGTGATAGTGAAATTTATTTTGTGAAAAAATTATTGAAATTTAATCTGAATTCTTAAAACAGTTCAGCATTAGAGAAAACCCACTGACAACAGTTGACTTGACACCAGCATTCTTGTTTAGATTTGATCTTTAAAATTCTTTGAAAATGGAGTTGTGGCCGACATTGGTGGGTTAGGACAACCTAGGTAAAAACTCTCTCACTCAAGTGAGTGGCTGAGGCCGCCTCTACATGCCTAGGAGATGCACTGACCGCGGTCACGTGAGGAAGGTTCCAGAATGCGGCCTGTCCCAGCTTTGTTATTCCGAGTGCAGGAGCGCACACTGGAAGGCAGGGCTTGCAACACTCTTTTTATTACAGACCAACTCAGGAAATGAGAGGACGGTTCTCCTTTCCACTGCGGTTGCTTTTGTGGATGCATCTGCCCCTGCGGAGGCAGGCTTCAGAGCTCGGCCAACCATCAATGCCAGGCTGCCGTTTAATTTCTTCTTTCCGTTTGTTTGACGTAAGTTGTTAATCACCTCTAGAATTGAATGCTCTGGGGCCTGGGCTCCCTTGGACACATCCTGGTATTCTACCTCTGACCCGTGGGGTTACCCTCAGACCACACACTTCCCCTCTTCACCCACTCCCCTCCTTTTGGAAATTTTATTCCCCTTTGTTTGACCTTAGAATGGGGCACCATCTGGTCTTGGTGATTTCCAGTACTGTCAGCCATGTAGGTCATGTGCAGAAACCAAATTGCACCTTTGGGAAGATTGTAAAGGGGACAGACCCAGAAGTAGCTCAGGTGTTGAGGGTTTATCCAGTTTATGCATCCTCTTCTTCAATGTGAGTTATTTTTAAAATACTCATTGTAGTTCAGGTTTTCTTTCCTTTTCAGGCCCCATGGAAATGAATACAAAAATAGCAAAGTATTGTATGTGAAATCATGCGTGCGAGTAGAGTACTCGGCCTCATGAGGGGATCTTCCCCCAGTGTCATCTTCATTACATGGAGTCTTGGGTCTAATTGCTGTTTCTGTGGCAGGCACTGGAGCTCTCCATCTCGTGGTCTGTATGGGATGCTACAGAGTGGTTCCAAGCAGTTGATGCTGGAAAGAATAGAGTAGGAGGGCCCGAGGGGAGGAGTTTCTTTTATACGTTAATTGTACAGTAATTGAGAAAAACGTTGTCAGGTGGCAGAACAAGGTAGAGCCAGTTAGAAGCTGGAGGCTGCAGAGGAGGGGGCTGGGTACCTGAGAACAACCTCTCTGGGGGAATCTGCACGAAGAGGAGCTGTTAAGACTTTTCTAGAATGGGCTAGTAGCTAAGGTAGCTTCCTTTTTTTCTTTTGTCTTTCAGAATGCTCATATGAAATGATGCACTGGTTCCTCATACATGCGAAATGTGAAAAGTACATTTGATGAGATTAAATTTTATATACAAGTTGTCCAGCTTTGTCCTTCATTTTAAACAAGAGTCAATTGTTTAACATGAGAAAATATAGTTTGTGATACATTGTGAAAGGGGGTGAAAATGGGATGGGAAGCTCTTGGTCACGCCAAGAAAGAACGAGCCTTCCCACAGACTTTCCTCCTCAGCCCCCCAGAATCTGAGCTGGGTGGGGGCGAGGCAAAGGCATCAAACCAAACCTGTCCCCGAAACGGCCCCAAGAGGGGCAGCTGTCTTTCTCGTCAGCGGCACAAGCCCGAGAGGCAAGGGTCTTCTCTTCGGGATGGAGCAGGCAGTGTCTAGTTGACCTCAGCAAGAAGTCCATGCTGTCTCAATAGCTTGTTCAGCCTTTCAATTTCTTGTTCCTGTCATTACAAAAGCAGACAGATAACTCCGTTTACCTTCTGCGCCTCACCAGGGATGTGGGAATCATTCAGTGGGCCCCAAGGGTGCAAAACTGAATGAACGCTATACTCCCCGTGGAGTCTGCCAGCAGAGCCCGCTACGGTCAGTGGGGGTCTAGTGGGTGCTGGAGTGACAAGAGGTCCTCAGTGGAGGGGTACCTGGCACAGCTCTGGGGAAGGAGGTGATGCTAATCTGCAAGAACAAGGAAGACTGAGCCAAGGGCAGCATCCGAGCAAGGGCCTCGTAGGGAGAAGCACCGTACTGAAGGCAAACAGATGGCATTTGCCCAAAAGTGTCTTCTTACCTTCTCAGAGCAGCTGAATTCAAGGTGTTGGATCTTGGCGGCCAACTGTATATTCATCTGTTTTAACCTCAGCAGTTGCCGTTCTGAACGTGTCTTAACTGAGATAATTATTCCTGTAAAATAATTGAGGGTCTCAGTGATACAGGTTTCTAATTGAACCACTTGAAAAAAAACCTCTGTCTTCCTTCTAAGTGTATACAGTTGGGAAGAATGGTGGCAGACAAAACAGTCCATCGCTTAAAGGCATCAGAACCAGGAAGGTCAGATTTTTAATTTCTGAGCTGCTCATTAACCAGTTGTGAAATATTTCCCTTTAGCTCGCGTGGGCTAAGAAATCCTTTATAGTCACTTGACCAGATGAGTGTTAAACTCCTTCATACAGCGCTTGTTCACGACAGAGGCTTAGCACTTAGCAGCACGTCCATAAAAGCCACAGAAGTGCAAGGCTGGAAATGCTCAAGCTTAGCCTTGGGATTGTCACTTTCCCAGTTTTCTGCCTCCACAGCTATGGCCAGTTCAGCTGTCGAGCGATCAACTAAGTCTTGGCCGACAGAGGGGTCGTCAGCCTTATCTGATGGCTCCCCAGAGCCCACACCACGGTGCGGACGTGGCCGCACAAGACTATGCCGCAACTGGGGATGCTCTGCGCCATCCGAGTAAGAGTGACCACGTCTGGACTCAGTGGTCGCGAAGCCCAGGAGCACCGGCCCCTTGTGACCCGCATTCTTGGTTGTCTGAGTCCAGTTGAAGCGTCTGTTGCTTTTTCAGACCTCTCATGTCCTGCCACGAAATTTGAATAGCAGTGCAACAATGGGCATTAGGCAGGCTATGGCCTGCTACCATTCAGACAAAGAAAATGCACAAATCTCAGGTGTTTGGTTTTATCTGCAAAGCAGATCTCACCATGGTGTGATAACGAGAGTAAAGGGTAGTAACTGCATTCATGAATTGTTCATGGGCATGGTTTATCCACCTCCGTGGTACATAATCTTTGCACAGAGTATTTTTCTGTTTGATGAATAATCAGTTAGCATAAGCATATTCAGTAGTAAGTGGAAAGCTTCCTTTATGTCTTTTGACAGAGCCCAAATGAATACTCTTAATGGGCTTTCATCGGAAGATCTAAACCGGCTCCTCAAGCCAGGGGGAGCCCACGGTGCCCACAGGCAGAGCCCCTCACCCAGCCCTGCATTGGAGGTGTGACACTTGCCCTGCCAGCAGGGGAGACCGGATAGGACTCACTGGGCTGCCAAGCGAAGGAGCCCCGTGGCAGACAGGCCCGCCTCACGCATTCTCCTGGCAGTGCGAGAGTCTGTCGTGCTGGGCCCTCGTCTAGCGATTCCCAAACCCGGCTGGACACCCAAATCACCTGGTAGCGCTTCAAAAACAGACCCCCGTGAGGGTCTACGCCAGACTTCCAGAAGCACTGGAGGTGAGTCTGACGCGGTGGGTTCACAGACGCATTTGAGCACCTCTGACTAGAGTTCACTGAGAGCTGAGCAGTTAACAGCAGAAACGCGGCCTCTCAGAAACAGAGCCTCCCTGCACCACTAGGGTGTGTGTGAGGAATGGGATCTTTACCTGAAGTACAGTAGAGCTTTATTTCCCCAAGTGTGTTCTCTAGAGCCAAAGTCTACAACATGTTAACAGGTGTTGTTTCCCCAGAAGTGTCCACTTGGTCAGTTTGGGGAACTCAAGAGTTCTAAGGCTTCCTCATGCCAACAAGTGGTGCCCCTCCCAGGGGGATGGGGTTTGGTAGAACATTCTTCAGGAAACACCAAATTAAAGACAAAGGTGCTCTGGGAACCAAGCTGGAGGGGCTTAATCAAAGATTCATCTGACCCTTTCTGTAAATACCTTAGAATAATCATGAGAACAAGGCCTAACGGAGAAAGGTGGTTCCTCTTAGAGCGTGTGTAACTTGGTGTCAGTTTGCACACAGAGGCGGTGGTGGGACGCCGAATCAGACCACTTCATTTTTCTCTAGAAAACACTAGCCAGGAGGAGGAGGAGCCATGACACCTGGGTCCCCTCCCGGGCTCTGCCCCGCCGGCTGTCCCTCTGCGGCCTGGGGGTACGGGGGACATACCATTGATGATCCGGGCCACCCGCCACAGCCGGAGCAGAATCAGCAGGCCGAGAGCCTCAAACTGGTGCTTCTGGAACAGGAGGACGAAGTCGAGGATGAAGGAAACCACCACCACAATGGCATCCAGGATTTCAAACTTGTGGTGAAAGAACTCCATGCGGAAGACAAATAATTTAAAAAAGATCTCCATCATAAAAAAGGTCAGGATGGCAAAGCTCATGTAGTGGAACACCTGGAGAAAACAGAGGGGGCACAGTGAGAACAGATCCAGGGCTGGCCACAGGCTGGGGCAGGGCATGCCCACGAGCTGGCCTGGAGAGCCACCTGCCTGGGCACAGAGTGAATACATTCATCTGACCCATCCCAGACTCCAGCGGCACTGTTCTCCGCCTGGGGCCACGACTGGGACACCACAGACAGGGGCTCTGCTCCACCCTGGGAAGGGCAGTGGGACAACGGCAGGTTGAAAACCTCCCCCGTGCACTTCGGCCCCGTAATTCCAATGCTAGGATTTCATCCCACAGCTATGCTCACACCAACACAAAGGCATGTTGTAGGGATCTTTGCTGCAGCATCATTTGCAGACAAAAGGTTTTCTACATTGTTTGTAGAATAGAAATATCTACTATATGGAGGTACAAATACAGTACCTCCATACGGAGTGCTATGCAATTGTTAAAGACCAAGGCTGACTCCCGTGTATTGACTAAAAATGATCACCAAGGTAGATGGTAATTGAAGAGGTTGCCAGATCTTGATTTATAAATACTAGTTTTCATTAAAGTAACCATTTCCATTCTAGGAGAGGGAAAATACAAAGTGAGCTGGGACATTATCTTGGACCAGAAAGCAAGGAAATGCTCAAAGACTACGGAGTCCTGTTAAAAGGATATAGCAGTCAGCCTGAAGAGAGAGTGATCAAATTTAGTAGGACAATTTGGACCCTGAACTGAATGGCTATGATTGTAATACACTGAATAAAAAAAAAAAAATCCATGAGTCCTTAGTGATACATACACATATGGGGAAAAAAGGAAAGCTCTTCTATGTATATCTATCTATCTCTCTATATAAAACCAACAAAAAAACCCACCTACCAGATGTGAAATGAATGATAGAAATCTCAATTTGCATCTCCCAGTATATTCACTGACTCAGACAGTGACCATCAGGTGGATGCTAATTGGGGAAGAGGATCTTTGGAGGGTAGTCCAGTGTCACTGTGCAGATCATTTCTAACTGCAAAGGGAAAGTGCCCCTGGACAGTGGAACAGCTCACATTTACTACCATCCGTGATCCCAGCGAGTATCATTGATAGCGATATGCCCTGCTATAAAGAAAACAGCCCACCAGCCAAGCACTCTTGCTCATTGAGCCTCTAGACCTAACCCCTGGTGTACAGGGAATAAGGGAACAAGTTGAAGGACCTCTGGGGAAACAGACAAATCCAGAACATGGGACATCCTACGAGATGACTGGCTGGACTTGGGGGAAAAAAAGGTGGAAGGACTCTTCTAGATTAAAAGAGCCTGAGGAGATATAACCAAGTATTGTATCAGAAGTCCAGATTCTCTTGGGACAAATGAGGAAATTTGAATATAAACTGGTTATTATGGAATTATTGATAATTTTTTAGGTGTGATAATGTGATTACGGTTCCGTAGGAGAAAGACCTTATCCTTAGGCATATTGAAGTATTTGTGTCCTGATGTCTAACTTACTTTCAAATAGTCAGAAATACATGGGTGTGTTTGTGGATATATATAGAGAGAAAGCAAATGTAATGAAAAGTATATTTGCCATTTTCATAATAAAAAGTTGAAGGGAAAAAAAAAAGTTGAGGAAAAAGGCACAAGACAGGGGCACCTGGGTGGCTCAGTCGGTTAAGCATCTGCCTTCGGCTCAGGTCGTGATCCCGGAGTCCTGGGATCACACCCGGAGTTGGGCTCCCTGCTCAGTGGGGAGCCTGCTTCTCCTTCTGCCTCTGCCCCTCCCCCTGCTTGTGCGCATGCTCTCTCTCTCTAATAAAAAAAAAATCTTAAGAGAAAAAGACAGTACAGCAGGTATGTCACTGATGGTGTTAAAAGCAGAGGGAGAGGAAAAATATTCATCCATCTGTGGAAGGACTCAGGCTGGCCACAGAAGAAAAACTAGCAGCTGCCTTGGGAAGGCTGGACAAATGTCTGGGATGGGCTCAGGCAGCAGCTGTGAATTGAAGAATAAACAGTGGGCAGACCTCCAGCACAGGGACCACGTCAGAATGTTGACAGGCCGAGAAATAGCCCGTCTGCTGCCGAAGATGGGACAGTGTCCCTGTCTTGGTTAGATCCTCCCTCTAGAAGCAGTGACACACCTCAGCTCAGTGGTCTAGCACCACTCGAGCTTCAAGCCATCAAGTGAAATGAGGTTTCCTGCTTATAGCAAATGCTTGTCTATAATTTGGAAAGAAGACGTTTTCCCTGCTCTTTGGTTAAAAGCACCCAGTCAACTTAGTCTGTTAAGGACTTGCTACTCCCAGGAGGGTGCTATCTGCCCCTCTCTGCCTACCTCAGGAAAGGTGCAGGGAATGGTATTCAAGGGCTGCCAGCACCCTACCTTGGCGGCATAGTCATTCTTGTCAAGCTCGATGATCTTCAGGTCCAGAATGAGCTCGGCGAGCACCAGGAGGGCATCCAGAATGACCAGGCAAATGATGATAACCTGCAGACCAAGGGAAGGAGTGAGAAACCGTGAGACCTAAAACGTGACCCTCCTTCCATCTTTAAGGGCCAGAAGCATCTAGGGGAAACCACTGGGTGAAGATGCCAAGGATGGGAGGCCGCTGCCCACGGCCGCGCACCTTCCAGGCCTATTGGCCCCCCGGGCAGTGCCTGTCCTCCTAGAGCTGTTCTGCCTGGCTCACTGAGTGACAGTCACCACCGGTCTTTCGTATTCATTCACTGTCTCTCAGCATCTCTCAAGCCAAACTGCTAATTCCTAGATGGCAAAAAAAAAAAAAATTTTTTTAAGTTTTAATTTTCCTATTTCTGGAGATTTACTTGCCAGGGTACACCCAGAACAGATGCTCAATAGATAATTAAAAAGATCCGCCTCAGAGATCTGAGTCATGGAAGTCCCTCCAGGGACTGCCTGCCTTGAGGCAGTTGGATTAAGTGATATCCACTGTGCAGACGGCACAGCTTCTGTCTGGAACCGTCAGTCCCGGCCCCGGCTCGCGCGGGCTTGTCGGGGTGCAGGGCGGATGGAGTCCGAGCTTTCCTGGGGACCGAGGAGAGGTGTGAGAAAGCCCATCTCGGGGGCTCTGCAACCTGCCGGTGGAGGAGGCCGGTGGGGACCAGGGTGCCAGGCGTGTGTGCTCTCACCGATGGTGGGGGGCCCACGGGGACAGAGGTGGTGGAGACGCTGCTGGGGGCTCTCATGGCAGGGTGGGGGTGATGGTGTTCGGTGGTGGAAACAGCAGCAATGCGAGGAACCCCAACGGCCACCCTGTGACCCCTCTCTTCCCTTGGGAATTCTGGCCCCCCATTGCCTCCCTGGGGCCCTGCTGCCTCCGTCAGACGCGCTCAGGTAGATTCTGCAAGTTAATCTGCCGTTTTCCGGCGGCGCCTGCACTCTCAGGTTGAAACCAACCAGGCCGCCGTAAAAATGGACTAGGAAACCTTCCGACCATTTCAGCCCGTAGCTAGTCACTTCAGTAACTCAAGCGTTTGAGGACGTGGTTTACTGTGAAAATTGCATGGCAAAGTAATGACGTTTTCACACATATCCAAATTCAGCAGCTCGATAAAGATTCAAGCCTCCGGCGGGTGGTTTTTCCTTTTTCTTTCTTTCTTCATCCTTGGTTTTATTTTAGAGCTAACGGGATGTGAGAGCTCATCTGGTCTAAAACCAAGGCACAGAGACATTAAAAACGGAGTGAATATTCAGCCAGAAAAAGGAAGCAGCCCTGACACGCGCCACAGCGGGAAGGCCTGGAGAAGCCACGACGCTGAGAAAAGCAGCCGGACCCAGAGCCTGCGCGGCGTCGGATCCGCTTCTGTGAAGAGGCCAGGGCAGGCAGATCCGTACACACAGAGAGCTCATCAGCGGTTCTCAGGGCCTGGGGGCCCGTTGTTTGCTGGGTACCGGATCTCCTTTTGGGGTGATGGGAGCATTCTGGAACGAGACGGTGGTGGTGGCTGAACAGCATGTGAAAGTGCCACATAAACACCACTGAATTATTCGCTTTACAATGACCAACTTTATGTGAATTCCTCCTCAATTAAGAGCAAGACAGACCGACCCCGGGTCACAAAACTACAATGCTTGCGTCCCAGTCCTGGCCTCTGTCAACTAATCCCCAGAATCTGAATTTGCCACTTCACAAGGCAGTGCTATTTCTGAGAGGAGTCACGTCACAAAGAGAAACGCCGAGAATTCAGGGAAGCTGGTTGACTCCACGTCCCGATGGGGCAAAGAGGGCCGGGCCCAGCCGGAGAATGCAGTGGTGGGGGGCGCCGGCTACGGGGCTGCCAGCCCCAGGCCAGCTCCCGAATTAGCCTCGACCCTGGGCACATCTCTCAAGACCCATGAGCCTCCGGTGTTAACGCTAAGCTTCAACGTCCTCTTGGAGAAAATGGGGTTGACCACATTTTCCACCCTAGATTGACAGTGGGAGCATGACATGAGGTAACACGTGAAGGGTACTTATCCAGGACTCCGCCATAGTGAGCAGGTAATGAAGTGAAGCTCCTTGACCTTCATGACTATCCTCCCCTGGCTCAGCTCCCCTGTCCACCCATGGATTCCACAGAGGCCCAACACACTCTGTATTCTCTCCCTTGCTTGTACCATCCTATGTGAGAAGTGATGGCAATTAACTATGTATCAGGTCACCTAGGCTGCCTCAAACCATGGGAACAGGTAGAGAGAATGCATCCGAGAAAGGGATTCCAGAATCCTCTTGCACGCTGATTCTACCGGCTGAGATCAAACCCCTGAACTGGTATCCCCGCTCCATGGTGGTCCCCCTGAGCCCCTCTACAAATCTAGTCCTGTCGCTCCCTCCCACCCATACATGTCGATTTTCCGTGGCCGCCCACTGCCCACAGATGACCTTCTAGTACCTCCTCTCTTGCCAAGGTCTCCCTCTACTTGCTACACGTAAGCCATATGGACCCTTCTCAATTCTAGGAATGCGGCAGATCCTTTCCTATCTTGGGCCCTTTGCAAACACAGTCTCTCTGCCGGGAAACTTCCTCCCTTCCACATTTACAGAGCTCACCCCTGCCCAACCTTCAGGTGTCAGATGAAATGTCGCCTCCTCCACCACACGTCCTCTGACACCCAATCCTAGGTCAGGGGTCTCCCTACTGCCAGGATCTCTCAGAGCCCCCTTCTGTCTCCCTACAGAGGGCTTCTCTTCACTTGCAATCAGCATCAGTCTGGGTGATGATGGTTCCTGGAGTGCCTGACTCTCCACAGACCATTGGTCCTCTGAGAGTAAGGACAGGGGTATACCTGCCATGCTTGTTGCTCTGTCCCCTGCACACAGAAGTAACTGCTCAAGAAATCACTGTCCAGTGAATGACTAAGCATCTCTGCTTATGTTTCAGTGGTCAAGCTGCTTCTCCAGGAGGACTGTCCTTAGAGGTCCTGGCTCAGCGGGCAGCCCTGTGGCCCAGTCAGGAGATGAAGGACCTCCCAGAGCAGGGAGGCCCAGGATTCCCCTTGCAGCTGGAAGGAAACTGGCTCCTTCCTTCTGCTTCTGAAATTGAGGGTTTGGGATTTCAACCCCAACAACTTAATACCACGTTTCCTTTCCTGTCACAGCCACAGAGGAACGCACGGAGCTGCGAGGCCTGCTGGGGGTGTTTGGCCTGTTTCGTTTCTCTAAGCTACATGAAAGCGAGAAAAAGACCAAAATAATTTTTTTTTTTTCTATTTTACCCTGGAACAAAGTCCGTGGTGGGAGAAGCAAGGGCTGTTTCTGCTTCCAGAAGGGAAGTCAGCTCTAGGGAGGCACTGGTTTATTTCAGTTTAGGAGGACACCTGCTACAGGGTCCCTGGAATGGCTCCACGGGACCTGGGCTGACAAGGGCCTGCATGCTTCCCCAGTGTCCTGGGCCTCCTGCATTCTCCGGGGGCCCTCAGAACAGGTTTCCAGACACCCAGGGCTGGGGGCTGAGACAGGGCCCCGCCACACTCAACCTGCATTTTTGTCCTTCAAAGTCGGAAGATGCCGACAAAGAACCCTTCGCTGTTCTTTGAAGTCTGCGTGTCCCTCTCGTGTTCTCCCATAAGCGCACCCGGAGGTCAGCTGTGGACTACACCAGGCAGATTGCTCCACAAAATAGGAGACTGAAGCCCCCAGGGTGATACTTCTGGGAGGCACAGGACCCTCTTGGCCTTGTTCAGCTCAGGGCAGGCACTCAGTGTTTGCCGAATGAATGCAGGAATGTTTTCTCTGCCTCCAGTGTTTACCCTTTGTTTACTTTTTGTGTAGGTATAGTAAAATCTGCACAACATAAAACCTACCATAACAAAACTGGAACCATTGTGAAGCTGGTGTATAGTTCAGGGCGTCAAGCACCTTCACAAGGTGGTGCAGGCATCACCGCTCTGAATAGTTCTGGAACGTCTTGACCCCACATGGAAACCTGTACCCATTAAGCAGCCCCTTGCCATTCTGCCCTCCCTCCAACTTGGAAGCACCAGTCTGCTGTCTGTCTCTCTGGATTTGCCTCTGCTGGACATGTCGCATCAACTGACTCAGACAACATGCGGTCTTTTGTGTCTGGCTTCTCTCACTGAGCGTCACCTTGTCAGCGTCCATCCACTCATAGCAGGGACCACTGCTTCATTCCTCTTCACGGCCGAGTGTGGACAGCCTACGTTTTGTTCATTCACTCCTCAGGTGACAGACCTTGCGCTGACTTGGGACAGTGACTTACTTTATCCCCGGTGGCACGGGATCTGCCCAGCGCTGTCCGGGGCGCCTGCCACAGGGTTAGTACTCAGGTGACAGACGTCGAACGAACGGGGCGGTGGCAGAGCTAGGCCCCCACCCCGGCCTCGTGACTCTTGGCTGACGGCTCTGCCCCACCCCGGGTATCTTGGGCCTCTGCCCACCTACCTGAAACCTGTGGGAGCTGAAGAGCTTCCTCAGTGTGGCCCTGAAGTCGAGGGGGGGCCGGGGCACGGGGCCGGGGGCCGCCGTTGGGTCGGGGGCTCTGCCCTCCTCGCTGGACGCAGGTGCTGGCGACGTCTGCTCCTCCTCCTCGTCGTCTTCCTCGTTCTCCCATTTCTTGTAGTTGATGTTCCAGGCATGGTAATCGTCCCCAACGACAGTGAAGTGCCTCAAGAACTTGCTCATCCTCTTGGCCGGAGCCACTTTGGCCCTGCGGGAGCTGGCCTGCAGAAGGGGGAGAGAGCCAGCGCTCAGCCAGGGAGGCCCTCAGAGCCCGTCCAGACCACTCGGACGCACGCTGCTCTGGCGGGGAGCAGGGCCCAGGCTGGGCCAGGCCGCGGGGGCGAAAACAGCCCTGGCCCTCAGAGCACCATGCAAGCAGGGACCGTGAGGTCACGGTGGTTTCTTGTGCTTCTATTTTTGGAATCCAGGGTCTCAGCGCCGGTGAGGCAACAGGAAACCCCAGAACCCATCAGGCCTGTCACTATGGTTGGCAATAACCAATGAAATTGGTACCGCAGCCCAGTCACAAAATACCCACCACGTGTAAATACCGGAAGAGCGGCCCCATGGTTCAGAGGCATCATAACCTGAAAAACCGGAGGTGAGAGTTGGCGGGGCAGGGGTGTGGAAAGCCAAAAGTAAAAGTACCCAGAGTTTCACAGAAAAGTGAGGGCTGCCCCCTTCATGCCACAGATCGGTTCTTGAAATGTGAGTGGCAAATAGATTTTCCTAAGTGCAGCCAGTGCTATTTTAAGTACACGATGGACAGTTGTTTAAAGACAAGTGACTTCAAAGCAAAAAGCAAATAATCCTCCTTTTGCCCAACTGACCCTACCAGATATCAAATTTCCTATAAAGTTCAATAATGAAAACTTCAGGGTATGGGTCCAAGAATGGGCAATATGATCAGTGGAACAGGAAAAAAGAGCCCAATCAGACCCAGACCCCAGTAGGGAAGTGGATGTGATGGTGGTGGCCATACAGATCAATGGGAAAAGGCTGGAGAGGTCAGGACACCTGGCCTTCATGATAGGAAACAAACAAACAAAAAACATGAAAGATCCCTACCTCATACCCTACAGAGAATAAATTTCAGATGCATTAACTGTAACATATATAAACTAAAAAAAACAAAACTTTAAAAGTCTTAGAACAAAAGATAGGCAAGTATCTTCATGACCTCCAAGTAGGGAAAGGTTGCTTAAATAAGACACAAAACAAATGGATAGACTTGATTCATCAAAACTAAAAGCTTTTATATTTCTCTCTCTCTCTCTCTCTCTCTCTCTCTCTCACACACACACACACACACACACACACACACCACACAATCCTAGAAAGACACACCACAGACTGGGTGTGACACACATATTTGCAATGTACTTAAAAGACATTGTTTAGGGTGCCTGGGTGGCTCAGTTGGTTAAGCAACCGCCTTCGGCTCAGGTCATGATCCTGGAGTCCCGGGATCGAGTCCCGCATCAGGCTCCCTGCTCAGCGGGGAGTCTGCTTCTCCCTCTGCCCCTCCCCCTCTCATGTGCGCTCTCTCTCTCATTCTCTCTCTCAAAAAAAAAAAAAAAAAAAACTTAAAAAAAAAAGACATTGTTTAGTGTCCAGAATATACAAAGAAATCATACAAACTAAAAAAAAAAAAAAAAAAAAAGACAACTCCCTTGAAAACTGGGCAATGGATATTAACAGGTGGGTCACCTAAAAGGAAACCCAAATGGCAGAGACACAACCTCATTAGGACTCAGGAAAATGTGAATGGCAAGAATTCTAAAGTCTGCAATAGCAAATGTTGGCAAAGATGTGAAGCAGTGGGGGCTCTTGAACACTGAACATAGGAATTGACGATGGCACCACCATTTTGGGAAACAAGCTGGCACTGTTTTGTCAAGTTGAAGCTGTGCATATCTTTCTTAATAATCTAGTGATTCCATCCCTAGAAAGGCTGCAAAGAGAAACACCGCTACATGTGCTCAAATCAGTAGCTTGTTCGGGAACGATCACTGCAAATGTTCACCTAAATGGTGGGAGACAGAGGAAGGAGCCTTCTCTCTTCACGTGATGGAATGCTGGACAGCAGTTAAAATGAACTGCATTACTCTAGGTCACTGATGACCTCCACAGGTACCCCCTTGGCAGCACTGAACACACAGTAGGTCACTCCTGCCTTCACTGGCTTCTGGGATTCCATACTCTCCTGGTTTTCCTCCCACCTTGATGGTTACTTCTTACCAGTCTCTTGCTGGATTCCATAAGAGGAAGACCCTACATTTAAGTATTGACATGCCCAGGGCTCAGGTGTCTCTTCTCCATACTCAGTTCCTAGGGGTTCTCACTCAGCAGCAGAGCTTTAAAAGCCATCTGTACATGGATTATACAGAAACACTATCTCCAATCCCAATCTCAACTAAGGACATCCACCCTTAGTTACCTCAAAGTTATCTTATACCTAGTAGCATGTTCAAAGCAGAATTATTCATTTGCCGCCCCAAATGTCCCCATCTCAGTTTAGGGCATTTCATTTGTCTAGTTCCTTAGGCCAATAACTTTGGCATCATTCTTTAAATGTCTTTCTCCTCATTCAATACTGACCTAGCAGTAAATTTCGTTGGCCCTGCCTGTAAACTACTTTCCAAGTAAGACCACTTCTCGCCATCATTTCCTGCTATCTCTTGCCTGGATTACTATAGCAGCCTCCCTACCTCCTCCCAATAGCCATTCTTCATCCAGCCGAAAGAACTTTGAAAGAACTTTCTCAAATATAAATGAGATCACGTCATGCCCTTCCTTAAAACTTTCACATGTTATTTTTTTTTTTCAGCATCCTCATGCCTTCTTCCTGGAAATGGCTTCCCCCAGACATCTGCATGGTTCACACCTTCACTTGGGTCAGGCTTCTGCTCAAATATCACCTCTGCTGAGACCTGGTCTGGTCGCCCTTCCCCAGTCACACTGCATCCACTTACTCTGCTTCATTTTTCTTTTCTTTTAAGATTTTATTTTTAAGTAATCTCTAGACCCAATATGGGGCTTGAACTCACAACCCTGAGATCAAGAGTCTCATGCTCTAGTGACTGAGTCAGTCAAGTGCCCCTCATTCTTCTTTATTGCACTTATTGGTGACATTATATATGAATTGTTTATCTGTTTATTATCTGCCTACATCCCCGCCCCCAGACTCTAAGCTCCATGAGAGTGGAACTTTTTCCATCCTGTGCAAATTGCCTACCCAGTGTCTTATACTTAATATACACTCAAAAACACCCAAATATCTAAGTGACTAAATGAACACATACATGTGGATAGGTCTTTACAAATACGTTGGGAGCACCTGATGGGTCATGAGATCGAGCCCCACATTGGGCTTTGCACTCAGTGGGGAGTCTACTTAAAGATTCTATCCCTCTGCCCCTCCCTGTGCACATGCACACACGTTCTCTCTCAAATAAATAAATAAATCTTTTAGAAAAATTAAATATGTTGAGTTTAGGGGCACCTGGGTGGCTCAGTTGGTTAAGTGTCCAACTCTTGATCTTGGCTCAGGTCATGATCTTAGGGTTGTGAGATTGAGCCCCACCTCGGTGTCTGTGCTGGGCATAGAGCCTGCTTAATATTCTCTCTCTCCCTCTCCCCTCCCCCCACCCTCTCTCTCTCTCAAAAAAATATATATGTTGAGTTTAAAAGGAAGATATAGAAGAATATGAATATAATACCACTTAAGTAAAAATTTAAAAATACATGCAAAAATATTATTACATGCTGTTTTGGGAATGTGTAAAATGGAAGTGTAAACATACAAAAGAAGGGGATTTCTGCTTCTGGTCATGACAGAGTAACTAGGCCTCTTGCCATAAAACAAAACAAAAAACTATAGAACTGGATAAAATGCATGAAATTTACAGTGGCCCCTGAGAGAAGAGAAACAGACGAGGTGAGCCCCCACACTCACCCTGGCTTTCTGCCTAGAGGTGCTTTCTGGACTATGGTAACAAGGCTATTGAGCCTCTCTCCCTCCAGAATTTGCATGGCGAAGTACCTGAGAAAAGGAAGCTCTGCAGAGAAGGAACTCCAAAAATCCAACTTTGGCTGAATTCTAAACAGCCGGAGATGACACAAGGCTGGGTTAGGAGATGTGTGAGTTCCAAACATCCAGAGTAGAGATGTCTTGTTGAACACCCTGAGCATTCAGTCGAAATTCCAGAAAGGTCATGCCTTATTAGTAGGCATAATCTGACCCTATAGTAAGAACTACCTTAGACCTGGGGCGCCTGGGTGGCTCAGTCGTTAAGCGTCTGCCTTTGGATCAGGTCATGATCCCAGGGTCCTGGGATCGAGCGCCGCATCGGGCTCCCTGCTCGGCGGGAAGCCTGCTTCTCCCTCTCCCACTCCCCCTGCTTGTGTTCCCTCTCTCGCTGTGTCTCTCTGTCAAATAAAATAAAATCTTAAAAAAAAAAAAAAAAAAACTACCTTAGACCTGTCCCAAATACACTTGGGAGGGGGGTGGGGGGATGGGTTAGCCTGGTGATGGGTATTAAGGAGGGCATGTACTGAATGGAGCACTGGGAGTTATATGCAAACAATGAATCATGGAACACTACGTCAAAAACTAATGATGTAATGTATGGTGATTAACGTAACATAATAAAATAAAAAAAAGAAGAAGAAGCCTTGAAAAGATCAAGCAGATCCCCAGGTAAATTGACTGCCTGTTGGAACAAAACTCAAATTCTACTAGGGAGGACAACAAAATACACTCAACAGTGTAGCATTTATAAAAGTATAGCATACAATAAAAAATAACTAGACAGATAAAGCAGAAAAACTTGGCCCATAACCAGTAGAAACACTAGCTTACCAAAATGGACAGAGATAATAGAATTGGCCAACAAAGACTTATGAATAGCTATTATAAATATGTTCAAGGATTTCAAAGAAAATATGAGCTTAATGAGAGAATAGAGAATCTTAATAGAGAAATGGAAACTGTAAAAAAAAAAAAAAAAAAAAATCCAAATGGGCTCAATGCTGATTAGATACTGCAGTACAAAAGATCAGTGAACTTAAAGACAGAGCACTCATCAAGTGGAAACATGGTGAGAAAAAAGGCAGGGGAAAAAACCCAGAGCCTTAGGGACAATATCAAGTGGTCTAATGTACATGTACCTAGGATACCAAAAGATGAGAGAGAGATTGGGGCAGAAAAATTTAGAGAA